GAGAGGGGGAATAACCCGCTAGCATTAACAATGACTCAGCTACAACATCCCCCCCTTTCGCCCCTGCCATGACCCTTTTAGTCTCGTCGCATGTGTCGTCAAACCTAACCTGCAATCTACGTTTAATCTACACCATCACAACATATATATATATATATATATATATATATATATATATATATATATATATATATATATAATGTCTATATTTTATAGAAAGGCCTTATATTGTATAGACATTTATTCTTGCCAAAAAGGGATAACTCACCCTTGGTTACCTAGTGTGTAAAAAAAAACGCCACTGTTTTCAACTATTTACCCGATCAATCGATCCAGAATATCGATCCTCTAGTGTATTAGAACCTCACAGGTTGGCTCATGGTCCGTATTGATTTTGAACTTTGGAGAGCTTCACTGGGCGGTTCATGTTTATTTTAATATTTGTTCACACAGAGAGAGAGAGAGAGAGAGAGACAAATATTAGGTCGCTGATGCAGAACATACCTTGTTCTTAAGAGACGTCTGTTATTGGCGTTAAGCAAAGCTGCCACCTCCCTCCAGAAAAAAAATATCACTCGTTTTATGACCTTTCCTCTCAAAAAGTGTCACATAACTCCACCAGAGTTTCTTCCAGGCATCTCTTCGGGGAGGGGGGGGGGCGGGTTCTCTCCCCCCCCCCCCCCCCCCCCCCACCCCGAACGAAATAAAATTTATATAGAAAACATATTTTTACCAGTGTCCACCCCCACCCCGGAAAATATCAAGTGCCCCCCCCCCCCCAGAGAAAAAAGTCTGAAAGAAACACTAACTCCGCCCCACCACCCTCCACATACTGTCGCGTAGCTCCAATTTTTCAAAGTAGGTCACATTGCTCCACCTTCCCTCCTCCTTATAAGGTAACAGAACCCTCCCCCCACCCGAACTACGTCACATATTTCTAATTCTCCACCTCGCCTCCCACCCCAATCACATACCCATCTTACCAAAACAAAAGACCTCGTTTCCCATCAATTTCATAGTCATTACAGTGTACAATGTATGTGCCTTAGCCTTGTAAGAAAACACTTATTTTACCCACAAGCAAGAAAACACATTTTACATACAAGCAAGCAAGCTCTCCCCTCTTCCCCCCCCCCCCCCAAAGAAAGTCTACCGCCCCCCGAACGAAATGGAATTTATATAGAAAACATACATTTACCAGTGTCCCGCAACCCCCCCCCCCCCCCCCGGAAAATGTTGATAGCCCCCTTTCCACCCCGAAAATATCAATTCCCCCCCCCCCCCCCCCCGGAGAAAAAAGTCTGGAAGAAACACTGCAAGCAAGAAAACACATATTTTCATTCACGCAGGGAAAAAAACCATCTTTAAACGTACATCAAGTTATCACATCTTCACGTACAAACTATGATTCACATCTTTAACGGTTACCCTTATGAGCTGAACGAAATGAATTGTCATGCCACTATTATAAAAATATTCTAAGCCACCTTAAAATGATGACACTGGTAAAATTATATATTTTCTAATTAAATTATTTATTCTTTCTAAATAGTCCGAGGGTGTGGAGCGGAAGTGCAATTATTTTGTTTTTCATTTATCTAATTCAAATCGGATTTTTAATTTTTATTTTTACAAATATGTGTTAGACTTGAAATACGTAGTGTTAGTTTTGGAGACGACTTCAAGTCGAGCCTTAATTCTAATCACGCCATCCTTATTTACCATGCAACTGGTGATAAAAGCGTTCAAAGTTCGATAACTGATGATATTTTAACTATCGTGTTTAGAAGAGAGTTATTGAAGTTACTTCCCTTGGTAGATCGGCAACTAGACATGTTTGAAATTCGCCCACAATACTTTTATCGATTTTAACGAGATCCTCTTGTCTATATGCGGTTCTAAAAGTGGCTATATTATAAATGATCGCGGGCGGTGTTTTATAATAATGTACATTTGTAGGTGGTGAGTCAAACATTACCATTTTAACATTTAAAAATACAACTACATAAAACTTTGTCCTTTCAACAGCCAACAAATTATTTGCATATTTGCCATTTTTATTATATTTTAAGCACATTGTTTCGCTTGTTATTATATATATATATATATATATATATATATATATATATATATATATATATATATATATATATATATATATATATATATATGCCATAACCGAATCTAGAGAAAAAAAACGGAATTATTTTTTATAAGTTTGTTCTTGGTGCGAGCGATACAGTGGCGTAGCCAGGATCGTCTCAAGGGGGGGGTTCCAATTTTTACCCGGGGACAAACTTTCGATTTGCACCCCCCCTCAAAACTTTCGATTTGCACCCCCCCCCCCCTCAAACTTTCGATTTGCACCCCCCCCTCAAACTTTCGATTTGCACCCCCCCCCCCTCAAACTTTCGATTTGCACCCCCCCTCAAACTTTCGATTTGCACCCCCCCTCATACTTTTTATATATACCGAGGGGTCTATGGGGGGGGGGGGGGTTATGACCCCCCTAACCCCCCCCCCCTGCCTACGCCACTGGAGCGATAAGTGTGGTCTATAGTCTATTGGAGTCTACATAAACATCTTGTGTTCAAGTACCTGAATTCTTCTCTGGAGGTCTGCATTGAAGGTCAATGCCCCGCATCCATTCAGGAACACAGACATGACTAGTGCTACGGTTGTTTGGGCACTCATTGCAAGTATTTCAAGCTTCGTTCCTTCCTCAGTTAAGATGTGTTCCCTCATCAGATAAGATGTGTTCCCTCATCAGATAAGATGTGTTCCCTCATCAGATAAGATGTGTTCCCTCATCAGATAAGACGTGTTCCCTCATCAGATGTGTTCCCTCATCAGATAAGATGTGTTCCCTCATCAGATGTGTTCCCTTATCAGATAAGATGTGTTCCCTCATCAGATAAGATGTGTTCCCTCATCAGATAAGATGTGTTCCCTCATCAGATAAGATGTGTTCCCTCATCAGATGTGTTCCCTCATCAGATGTGTTCCCTCATCAGATAAGATGTGTTCCCTCATCAGATGTGTTCCCTCATCAGATGTGTTCCCTCATCAGATAAGATGTGTTCCCTCATCAGATGTGTTCCCTCATCAGATGTGTTCCCTCATCAGATAAGATGTGTTCCCTCATCAGATAAGATGTGTTCCCTCATCAGATAAGATGTGTTCCCTCATCAGATAAGATGTGTTCCCTCATCAGATGTGTTCCCTCATCAGATAAGATGTGTTCCCTCATCAGATCAGATGTGTTCCCTCATCAGATAAGATGTGTTCCCTCATCAGGTAAGAGGTGTTCCCTCATCAGATAAGAGGTGTTCCCTCATCAGATAAGATGTGTTCCCTCATCAGATAAGATGTGTTCCCTCATCAGATGTGTTCCCTCATCAGATGTGTTCCCTCATCAGATAAGATGTGTTCCCTCATCAGATGTGTTCCCTCATCAGATGTGTTCCCTCATCAGATAAGATGTGTTCCCTCATCAGATAAGATGTGTTCCCTCATCAGATAAGATGTGTTCCCTCATCAGATAAGATGTGTTCCCTCATCAGATAAGATGTGTTCCCTCATCAGATGTGTTCCCTCATCAGATGTGTTCACTCATCAGATGTGTTCCCTCATCAGATGTGTTCCCTCATCAGATAAGATGTGTTCCCTCATCAGATAAGATGTGTTCCCTCATCAGATAAGATGTGTTCCCTCATCAGATGTGTTCCCTCATCAGATGTGTTCACTCATCAGATGTGTTCCCTCATCAGATAAGATGTGTTCCCTCATCAGATGTGTTCCCTCATCAGATAAGATGTGTTCCCTCATCAGATAAGATGTGTTCCCTCATCAGATAAGATGTGTTCCCTCATCAGATGTGTTCCCTCATCAGATGTGTTCCCTCATCAGATAAGATGTGTTACCTCATCAGATGTGTTCCCTCATCAGATAAGATGTGTTCCCTAGTCAGATAAGATGTGTTCCCTCATCAGATAAGATGTGTTCCCTCGTCAGATAAGATGTGTTCCCTCATCAGATAAGATGTGTTCCCTCATCAGATAAGATGTGTTCCCTCATCAGATAAGATGCGTTCCCTCATCAGATAAGATGTGTTCCCTCATCAGATAAGACGTGTTCCCTCATCAGATAAGATGTGCCAATGTACTTAATGACTGGACTTCATACATTCTCTGGCCCTAACCCTTATTTCGACATATGAACTACATAAGCTAGCCTTGAGAATACGTAACATCTCAACGTCATAACAAGTCGTGGGACTTATATTGCCTCCCGTGTAAGTGTAATATGTGTTAAGGGGAAACAACTTATAAATAAAGTTAAATGATAAACAAACGAACATTATATGCAAGAAAACATAAAATAAAACGTAAAATTTAATTTATTACAACAAGAAAAGAATTGTTGAAAAACAAATTATTAAGTTATTATTACCTTAATAGTACTTTAACTTAAACTTTTACCATAACCAAGTTATCTCAACCTTTAACTTAATTGTAACGTTTTTTCTAAGATTAGCCAATACAATCACCATAATTTTTATTGGTTTACAATTGATTTTATTCGATTAAGAATTTTTTTATTAAAAGTAACACGTTTAATAAAAAAAAAAAAAAAAAAAAAAAAGAGGAAAATTTGTTTTTTTTCATAAGTCTTTATTGTCTTAATTTGGCTGCTTTGATCCATAAAACTTTGTCCACCTTACTTTTCTTGTGATAAAATTGTATGTAATGATTTGAATTATGATATAGGCACATAGATTATATGGATATACTAGATTATACTTGCAAAAAAAGTATTTATGTATATATATATATATATATATATATATATATATATATATATATATATAATTGTCAACACTGATATTCTTATATAACAGTCAGGGTTGTGAAGGAACTTCCAATGGAGTAGCACTATAGAAATTTTTAAACAGTTAAAAACTGTCAGTCAAATGAGTTAAAAACTCAGACAAGCCAGGTTTTTCTCTTCAAATGTTTATTATAAGTCAGGCCAAATCTTACAAACATACTGACAAGTGTGATGATTAAAAAAAAAAAACTGTACATGTTATATAATCTTTACAAGAGTAAAATATACATCCACAAAGTTCAAAGGTCACCATGTCAGTAATGAAATGTGGTCAAATTGGACAAATATTTGTACACAAATAAAACAATTAGTGCTGGTTTCAGATAAATGTTGCATCTAATGGGGGGGGGGGGGGCTAGATCTGTTGCATCTACATCCAACATAACAATGTACTTTGGTTGTAAATGCAGATTACACAACTGAAGTTGTTTTACACAGACAATGGGTGTGACCCTCTATCTAGAAGTGAGTGACTTGGTCTAGTGGCTAATATTAGTTGCTTAGTGCGTCTACACGTCTGACTCTAAAGGTTAACAGCAGTTAAACATGGCCAGAGATTATTTGTATTGTGTTATTGTAGACTTGATCAGGGAAATTTTGGACTGACACTAAAATCCTGAGACCAACATTTTTTTATCAAATTGTCTTAAAACATGGATGTGAAATGATTCATACCTGTGAAGGGCCACACACATTTCATGTGTTAAAAAAAAAAAGATATTGATATACTTCATAAATTTGTTTTAAACAGATGAAATACCTCTTACAACAGATTCCAATAAAGACAATATACCACTGTAAATAAAACAATTGTGCCCAATTGGTTCTTGCCACTGAGATTAAAAATAAAATGTTCAAAATAAATGTTATGGCTACGAAAATAAAATTTGAAAAAAAAAAATCTTTAAATGCTAATAATTTTTGGGTAAGGACAAAAAAACTGATAACAAATCTTTGAACCCTACTAACTTTTGAGTAAGGACAAAAAACTGATAACGAATCTTTGAACCCTACTAACTTTTGAGACAAAAAAACTGATAACGAATCTTTGAACCCTACTAACTTTTGAGACAAAAAAACTGATAACGAATCTTTGAACCCTACTAACTTTTGAGACAAAAAAAACTGATAACGAATCTTTGAACCCTACTGGCGTTCGAGTAAGGACAAAAAACTGATAACGAATCTTTGAACCCTACTAACATTTGAGTCAGGACAAAAAACTGATAACGAATCTTTGGACCCTACTAACTTTTGAGTAAGGACCTTGACTAAAATACCAGCAATAACAGTGCAAATATTAAAACAATAACAGCTACTATAACATCTATACGATTGTAACTAGGATCGTGCAACAATTTTATCACCATAAGAGGATGATCCAGAGAGATTTATATTTTCTAACACAGTGTTTACACTTGTGACATGAACACTATACATGTCCAGGGAAAAAATATCGCAATAAGTTAGCATGAATGCTCTGTGGGGAAAAATGGTTTCATATAATATTACCTTTTTGCAAGATTTTTTCCTAGACATGAATGGTATACATGTCGCAACTGTAAATGCTGTATAAGAGACCCTAAACAAACTGCTGTATAAACAACAGAGCTAGATGTGTACAGTGAAGCTAGTTTTTTGACATTACATAATAGCGTTCACATATTATATGATAATTTTTTAAAGGAAAAGCTGTTATTTCCAGATGTTATCTAAAACGTCAAAACAAATTTAACTCAACCATTCATTCTATCAGATCACAATATAAACAGAATGCATCACGCTTGAGAAAATACATTAAAATAATTTAAAATTATTTTCTCTCTTTCTCTCAAAGTTTAAAAAAAAAATGTTCATGATAAATAAGAGTTTTAAAAAATGGCTATGTTTGGCTTCTTGATTTCAATGCTGGATAAATATTCAGCTCATTACATAAAGCACAGTAAATATTACATTTTTAATAAAGTTCCTGTTAATATTTAGAAAATATGACAAATTAATTTTTTTTCAAAATCCTTTTAATAGCATTTTTATAAAATAAAGTTGTCAAGATATGTTATAAATTAATACACTTAACCCTAGAATTACAAGTTTCTAACAGAGTATAAGATTATAAAATGCATCACATAGTACCTTGTAATTCTAGGGTGTTATTAATCAGGAAAAAAAAAGATGTGTTTTTCCCATCACAAGCGCCACCATCCACATGATTTCCTACACACAAGTTTAGTGTGACGACACCATACAACCCACATTCACTAGGCAACTGAGCTAGCCAATCATCTAATACCTTTTAAACGACTTTCAGAGTACTTCATGTCACTATTTACAATGTACAAGGATATACTAATCCAAAGATAAATCACACCAATGACAAATGCCACACTGATGACATGTAAGATCGCAGTGATAAAATGGTAGCTAAACAAAGTATTTTTATTTATTTATTTTTTGGTTCAGCAACTTCTCTTACAAAAAAATAAATACACAGAACTTGCATATATAGAAATGTTCTTATAGTTAAAGTACAAATAGAACTGAAACCTGCCTTAAACTGATCTGGTTGTCTATTCTTACCTACAAACCCTCAAGACTAAAAAAAACCCTCAGGTATTGCACAGTTACTTGTAAATTATGATAGGATGACACAGAGTAACCAATGAGAAACTGTACTAGACATTACAAGAGAGGCTGCTGAGAAGGGGGCGGCTGGTACATGTTGGCCTGACCCTGGCTGTACATCGGCCCTCCCACATACTGTTGCTGAGGGGGTAGGGATGTGTGGCCGCCATTGAAAGCTCCAAGTGATGGCACCGCACCAACTGAGGGCAAGGATGAGTAGTTGGACATGTGAGCTGGACTCACCCTGAAAGACATACACCATGGTTAGACATAACTTTCACAAAGCAGACAAATAAATATACATAAATAGGCCTGAAAAACATACACCATGGTTAGATTCACTTTCAGGCATACAATAAGCAAACTAACAAATAAGTATTTATAGAGGCCTGAAAGACATACACCATGGTTAGACTTCACTTTCAGACATACAATAAGCAGACAAACAAATAAATATACAAATGTAGACCTGAAAAACATACACTGTAGTTAGACTTCCCTTTCACAAAGCAGACAAATAAATACATATGGGCCAGAAAAACATACACCATAGTTAGACTTAACTTTCAGTCAAGTATGCAATCACAAAGCAGACACACAAATAAATATACATATATAGTTCTATCGATATTTTGATATCCATTAAGAGGTATACAGTACATGAATATTAATTCAAGTACAAATTAAGTTGAAACAATTCTACCACCTTTCTGTCTACTTTAATTGCTAAGCAACCACTTACTAAGCATTACAATATTTTAGGTTAAAGTTATTTTTATTTAGAATAGTTTAAATTACTGTACATCACTAGTACTTTTTGACTTAGGGTAAGTTTCTGTTATGGCTGCATCCATAAACCAAATTTTGTGCTCTATTTATCATTTACATTTTACGATGAAAAGAAAATTTGAAAATTACAACGATCTTCATTCTATTTATGTCTGCACCTAACCTAGCCATGTATAAAAGAATGGTCTAATTACATGAATGACCGGTATCCAAAGTTCATATTGTGTCGATAATTGATTTACAAATATTTACAAAATATTTATTCATTAAATTACAAAGTTAACTATGTTGTTATTGAGAGTCTGTTGAGTGTACATCTAGCTCAGCAGCAAAGGGGCATAGAGATTTTAGGGTCAGGAGCTAAGGGTTCAAAGGGTTAGCTAGAAATGAGTGAGTCTTTAATGTCAAATTATAACTGATATTCTCCTATGCAAAAAAAAAAAAGATTTAAAACTGTGCAAGTAGAGAATAAATTAGGGGTGACGAAAGATGGACTCACCCAGGGAAAGACTGACTAGATGGGGCCACCTGAGTCTGTGTGTAGATCTGTGATGGTACTGGCCCGCTCATGCTGCCCGCCATAGACATGTTGGGGGGGCCCTGGCTTGGGGGCCCACCCATCCCTCCTGGAACCATATACTGAGGTTGGCTGCTGTACAACTGTAAAAAGGTTATAAAAAATAGACATCAGAAACTTGAAAAATGCCTCAATCATGTTTAGTAAAAAAAACATGATTAATATTCCAAACTAGACCTGTGATTTACTAAATTGTATTGTTACGCATGGTTTGGTTGACTCGTATTGCAGTTCAGGCCAAGAAATGAATTTGATCCTTTGAACCTCAATTTCAATACAAAAAAAAAAAAAACCACTATTTCCCACCACACAAACCTTCTCATCCACTCATCCATATACAACACACATGCCAGGGGAAGCCACTCTCACAATGCTTACACACACTGTTTACATTTTTAAACAACCATTGTCACAGTATACTGAACATACCTGAGAGGGAGCTCCCATGCCAACAGTCTGGGGAACAGGTGAGTAGGTGTTGGGGATACCTGGACCCTTCAGACCTGAATAGCCATAGGCAGGGGTCTCCTTCATTAAGTTATGATACATCTGTAGGGCGTCCATGACTTTCTTATTCAGCTCCACCAGATTGGCGTGTTTTCTATAAAGATCAGAGGGTGGAATAATGTAAATAATAACTTAATGACTTAGAGAATCTAGTTTAAAATTAATCAACAAAGGTATTTAACACAGATAATATTTCAGAGATGACATCAATGAATAGTAATTATCTTTACAAATGCTATAAGTGCTGGCATTAGTCAATTTCATGAGTTTTTTTTTTCAATGGAATGCTTGCAAAATTACTAGGTAAAAGTTACTAATTATCCTTATGAGCGGAAATTCACCGAAAAGTGGCAACCCTGTTTATCTCAAATTCTTTCAATTTTTCAGATACAGATAAAAAATGAAAAACTATACACCAAATCTTACCTGTCTATTTTCTCTAATTCAGCATCTATAAGGGGTCCCATAGCTCTACATTGATCTGGTAAAAAAAACAGAATGCAGGTTTATGCAAATGTATAAATCTTCACATCAACATCTTTTCCCTTTAGTGACCATTCCACATGGGGCCACCACAGAAAGCTCTTTCTACAAGATCGTCATGACTGCCAATTGCTTTTCTAACGTGCACCTCCATGTCTTTTTCCTTGAGGTGCCCGTTAGTGCCATTTATGTGATATAATCTGGATTCATAGTTAAAATGTGCCCCTAGCAGCACCACATAAAGCCCTTCTAACATGAGCAGCATATATAGCTCCTACAGTACAATAACTTAATGCAGAGCTTTAATGTCCTGTATTTATAAGACCCAACTTAAGGGCAGTCAACTGAAACTTGGATCAGGTCAATAACTTCTAACATGAGTATGTGTCCACTGTCTGGTTGATATAATCTGGATTCATTCTTAAAACGTGCCCCACCCAACACCATATAATTCCCCTGCAGTACAATGATTGAAACTTGAATCACAACAACTGAAACTTGGATCAGATCAATACCTTCTAACATGAGTATGTGTCCACTGGTGGATATAATCTGGATTCATTCTTAAAACGTGCCCCACCCAACACCATATGATACCCCTGCAGTACAATGATTGAAACTTAAATCACAACAACTGAAACTTAGATCAATACCTTCTAACATGAGCATGTGTCCACTGTCTGGTGGATATAATCTAGATTCATTCTTAAAATGTGCCCTACCCAACACCATATGATACCCCTGCAGTACAATGATTGAAACTTGAATCACAACAACTGAAACTTGGATCAGATCAATATCTTCTAACATGAGTATGTGTCCACTGGTGGATATAATCTGGATTCATTCTTAAAATGTGCCCCACCCAACACCATATAATACCCCCACTATACAATAACTGACTTGAATCAATAAATGAAACTTGAACAACTGAAACTTGAATGAGATCAATACCTTCTAACATCAGCATGTGTCCACTGTCTGGTTGAGTAACACCAGTAGGATCTGCATTTTGTATCAAACCCAGGACCTCATCTATCTTGGCCTATAATGTTGATCCAAGTTAATTTGTTAGCAAAATCAAGAAAAGTTCAATTTAAATAAATATAGAAATTACAGCTAAAAAATCAAACTATGACTATATAATTTGAGTTGCCTATTCCTTATCCAATGTCTGTCACTGTTGTTTAACACCCCCCCCCCCCACTACCTCGATAATCTAACACTGAATTAAGCCATCTCCCTACTTACCTTATCAAAAAGATTCCCTCGCGTTGTTCCTTAAACTGCGTTGTACCCCCCACCCTATCAGTTCTACCCACACGCTTAAGAGCTTCCAAAAAATAGTTCCCCCGCCCCCCACTCCCTCATTAATCTACAACTGATGAGTTACCCCTCCTCCCCATTTACCTCATCAATTTCCTCCTCCCCTGGTGTCAATGTCTTCACCTCCACTTGGTCATTGAACTGTACTGTCTTTTTTTCTACTTTTACAACTGAAATACATTTTTATGTCACATATAGTAATAATTCTTTAATGTGAGCCATAAGTCATAACAACAAGCTTTTTCTAAGATCCAACAAAGTTATTAAAACTCATTTCAAGAAATGGCAGGCTGGTGATGTTGAGTTGCAGAGGCAATGGGAAACATTTTAATACTGTAGTTTTCTAAAATTTGTGTCATAACAATTCACATTTTTTTAAAAATACTTTGAACACATCTAAATCACAATTTTTAATCTGTGAATCTCAATATAAATATTTAATTTTACGGACATAAAAATTAACTTATTCACATCTGCTTTTTATACAGTTCGTGCCTCCCCTGACAATGAAATGCACCTGTCAAGCTCCTAATTTGGGTATCTCTGTTCAAAATGGCAGACTAAAGACTCACCTTCAGGTTCTGGTTCAGCTGTCAAGTCTGCCGTGACAAAGTTGGCAGGAAATAACCCTTCACCTCTGTGGTTGGATCCCTTCCACCAGTTTGGATCACTAAAGGAAATAACAGTAAGCTATGTTTTTAGACTATGTATATCTTTATATAAAGTTTTTAACAAAATAGTATGGCACTAATTAGCAGTAGTACACTACAAAAAACAGTAAAGTATTTATATAAGTACACAAGTATGGAAATTATGTCAAAGTGTCACATAAAAAGACAAAGGAATGGAAAGCCAGTATAACAAAAACACAGGAGTAAGGGGAAAGAAACCCACCTATCATCCAATACACAAATTAGCTCCCCTGCTTTGAAAGTTAGTTCATTGTCTTCTGCGGCTTCAAAATCATACAAAGCACGAACCTGTGTATAAAATAAAAATTATAATGAATGAATATGATGAATATACAGATACAGCAAACATTGAAACAGAATTGCATCTTGCTACCAGTTACATCAGTTTTTGATTTTGATTAAGCAGTTATACACTCTACCATTCCACCACACCGTCCCCTTATATAAATTCAGTACGTCTATATCCCCCACCTTTCTGTACTGGTTTGGTTTGTATGCCCTACTGTTTGACCATGCGTTCCCCTACTACAAATTCAGCACTAAAAGTAAATATTCCCCACCTTTCTGTACTGGTTTGGCTTGTATGCCCTACTGTTTGACCTTTGCCTTCCCCTCATACAAATTCAGTACTAAAAGTAAATATCCCCCACCTTTCTGTACTGGTTTGACTTGTATCCTCTACTGTTTGACCACACCTTCCCCTCATACAAATTCAGCACTAAAAGTAAATATTCCCCACCTTTCTGTACTGGTTTGGCTTGTATGCCCTACTGTTTGACCACACCTTCCCCTCATACAAATTCAGCACTAAAAGTAAATATTCCCCACCTTTCTGATCTCTTTCTGTACTGGTTTGGCTTGTATGCCCTACTGTTATGCGCTCCCCTCATACAAATTCAGTACTAAAAGTACATATTCCCCACCTTTCTGTACTGGTTTGACTTGTATCCTCTACTGTTTGACCACACCTTCCCCTCATACAAATTCAGTACTAAAAGTAAATATCCCCCACCTTTCTGTACTGGTTTGACTTGTATCCTCTACTGTTTGACCACACCTTCCCCTCATACAAATTCAGCACTAAAAGTAAATATTCCCCACCTTTCTGTACTGGTTTGGCTTGTATGCCCTACTGTTTGACCACACCTTCCCCTCATACAAATTCAGCACTAAAAGTAAATATTCCCCACCTTTCTGATCTCTTTCTGTACTGGTTTGGCTTGTATGCCCTACTGTTATGCGCTCCCCTCATACAAATTCAGTACTAAAAGTACATATTCCCCACCTTTCTGTACTGGTTTGACTTCTATCCTCTACTGTTTGACCATGTGTTCCCCTACTACAAATTCAGCACTAAAAGTAAATATTCCCCACCTTTCTGATCTCTTTCTGTACTGGTTTGGCTTGTATGCCCTACTGTTTGACCACACCTTCCCCTCATACAAATTCAGCACTAAAAGTAAATATCCCCCACCTTTCTGTACTGGTTTGACTTGTATCCTCTACTGTTTGACCACACCTTCCCCTCATACAAATTCAGCACTAAAAGTAAATATTCCCCACCTTTCTGTACTGGTTTGGCTTGTATGCCCTACTGTTTGACCACACCTTCCCCTCATACAAATTCAGCACTAAAAGTAAATATTCCCCACCTTTCTGATCTCTTTCTGTACTGGTTTGGCTTGTATGCCCTACTGTTATGCGCTCCCCTCATACAAATTCAGTACTAAAAGTACATATTCCCCACCTTTCTGTACTGGTTTGACTTCTATCCTCTACTGTTTGACCATGTGTTCCCCTACTACAAATTCAGCACTAAAAGTAAATATTCCCCACCTTTCTGATCTCTTTCTGTACTGGTTTGGCTTGTATGCCCTACTGTTTGACCACACCTTCCCCTCATACAAATTCAGCACTAAAAGTAAATATTCCCCACCTTTCTGATCTCTTTCTGTACTGGTTTGGCTTGTGCTGCTGCTGGTGTGCTGTAGGTAGGGTATAAACTTCCACCCCCACTGGCCCCTCCCCTAAGTGTTGACTTCTGCTGTTCCTCTTGCAGTGACAAAGCAATGGCTGGAAAATAAATGCAAATGTAGAACAATTTGCAATGTAATAATATTGAAAACCTTATTCTAAAAAATCCAGAAAAATGTCATTATTGGCTAATGCAACATTTTTCAAAAATGACACCAGTATGTAATTAAAGTGTTGGTATGTTCTGTCATGATTTTAACATCAAGGGTGTAATGATTTAATTACAGAATCAGTTGCAGGAAATATATGCACAATGAAGAAGTAATTTTTATTTACCTTTCGCTAAATCATCTTCTTCCTTTCTTACAACTGATGGATCTGCTGTTTTTTTCTGCTAAAAACCAAGATTGTTAAATAATTAAAAATTGAAACATATCTTTATGTCAATATTAAATAATTAGAAAGGAGAAAACAAAAAAATATTCTCCAAATAAAACAGGAACAATGAAGGAAATAAGGGAGTGGACCATTTTGGAATGTTTCATAGCTAACATATTAAAGTAAGTTAGCCTTGAGACAGCCAACATGCTCTTACTTTTTAAGGTTTATAAAAGGTAGGTGAACCTAGCCTATGAGGTCTTATAAACCAACAGGCTTGAAACGAAAGTCCTCCAGCTAAGTATTTGAGAATAACATAAATTGCAATATGATTGATTAAAATGTTCACTTACCATGTCTGTCTCACTAAAATCTACACCTTCTTTTTTTAAACTTTCATAGAAAGATGGAATTAAACTGGGGAAGAAAGAATGCAGCATACTGTTATCAAAAAACTATTTCTCCCAAAAACAACAACATCATAAGAGCAGTGCTGAACAAAATCATACACAAGCTAAGAAAACTAATCAAAGTCATTAAACTAATTCATTACAATGCACTTAGATCCAAGTTAAAATGATAACCCAGTAAATTTAAAAGCTGATATACTTTTCCTCTGAGAATGCTGACGATGCATGCAAAATATGAACAGATTCTGCAAAGTTTTTTTTAGATGTCTATTAAGATCATGCACAGAGACATTGGGATTCAATAGTGTAAGGTGTCCACAACAATGATACAAAAGATGAATTAACTACCTTAGAGCTGGATCTTCTTTAAACTCAGCCATGTCTGACCATGTTTTGATCATTAATTTTAACTTCTGAGCAACTTTAGGGTGAGCCTGAATAAGGAAGTATTTCACAACTTTAATTGTCATAAAAACAAACATTATTATTTAGTATTTATTTTTATTTTTCTTAAGACAAATAGAAGAAAAGTATTTGCATCTATTACTTGTCAATAATTTACTCTTTTGCCTGTTTATTATTACTTATAAAAAGACTTTAAACCAAAACATTATTGTTAGATTACCATTATTAATTTTACAAGCTTAAATAATATGAGTACAGATTGATGAGATAAATTACATGAAAATATTTATTATTTGCCATAAAAGCATTACAGATAATTTCTTTTGGTATGACTTTATCTTAATACCTTTTGTGAAATAAGTGTCCGGCACTCAGAAACAAAATCTCTAGAACATATCTCCAGATGGAATGGTCGTCCACAGTTATTAACACATGCATTCAGCAACTGTAGAAATAAAAATTCTTTACAAATCACTATAGAACAAATGTCGTGTTGCAATAAGTAAAAAATTGTTTAAAAAACTATTCCAAAGAACATTTGTAAACTTAAATAATAAACCAACTGATAAAGCTTACATGCACATAAAACATGATGTACTTACAGTTAAAGCTTGCATGGAAACAAATGGAACCTTGTGATTCAACCTTTTTACAATTGATTTTAGACAGTCTTTAGCACTGCGAAAATAAAATGTAATGTCCACAAATGAACACATAATAAAGTTTACCTAACTTTCATTTCAACAATAATAATAAACTGGTATGCTAAGTAATAAACACACAGCTCAGGTATAAAAACATTTCTGTTATGTTAACAGCTTTCCACTATTTCCAGTAGTCCTATGTTTCTTCAGGTTTTGATACTTAAGAAACTTTTTTTTTAATTGTTAATATTTAAATACCTACCCATTCTGCCTAGAAACTTTTTCACAAATATCAAGTATTAGACTCCAGTCCTCAGTTGTGTTCATCTCATGTGTGGCCTTTTCTGTGAACAAATTTATAATACAATTATTAACTGTAGTGTAAGTGTTTTAAAACTAATTAAGTACTAAAGTGTGACTATGGTAGTTGTGTTATGTTTTTAATTTGAGTGAAGAATGAGAGAAAAACATCTATTATTATGTTCTTTCACACAAGAGTGAACAAGATTAAAGGATGGAATGGCTGAGTTAAGGCTAGAGAATAAGTTACACTCAAGTGTCTAAGGATACTGACAATATTGGGAATGTAGGCCTACATATTGTATTATTAACAAAATAGGCCTTCATATTTAATATTTGTTAGACAAGGCAGAAACTTGAGACAGGGAAATGACTAGTAGCACAACTAGAGTTATAGTAGGATTTATTAATATATCAGATCTGAAACTCAAGCCTATTCCTCGATTAGTGATGATAAGGCCTTTAAACTTAAGTTCTTGTGGTTAGGCCCATAGTAGCTTATCTATAAAAACATTACTAGATAAAAAATATTTTTTAAATAAGCTTGAAAATATTCTGAGCGCTCGCATGTTCAGAATAGTCATTGATTATTAATAAGAAAACAACAGGCCAAGTACTAGATATTAGAGAGATCTAGATATAGAATCTAGTAGCAGGATCTAGCTTTTTAAAAAGTGTGACAGTATGACTACAGATTACAGTATACCTTTAGAGTTTAGACACAAAAGAAGTAAAAAAAATAGGCCTAATCAGCACAATTGGCCTAATCAATAATTAATAGCCTGAAGTTTAACTTAAATAAAACCATCTTATAGTCTTATAGTTTATAGACTCATACACTTAATAGGCCTAAATATAATAATATAATATAAGAGCCATATATAAGGCTTATCAAACGCCGCTATTTAGTTGTTTTATTTTCTACTTTTCAGTAATTCGTAATTTGTGGATTTGACAGTACCAATGCTGCCACTGAAAATATTTGCTTTAAAACACTATCAGTAGGTCGTTAAGGACGATACTACCCCCACCCTCCTTTTCCCCAAACCCTACCCTACATTCCCCCCCTCCATGAAAGCAGCCTCCTCTTAATTACCTCCCATAAGTTTAAAATCGTTTCAACCAGAATTTTTTGCCCCTAATAGCCGTCACTAAACTCCGCCCCTACGATTGTAAACATTTAGCAGAATTTAGCTTAGCGTGAACCATAGCTCAGCAGACCATGTAGGGGTGGGGTGGTAGGGAGCGCGCTTACAGCTTGGTGTTTTCTAGCGTCTCCAAGAAGATAATTATATATATAGATAGATCTAGATCATTAGTCATTAGAAAATGATCAGGTGTGTCACATTCACAAAAGAAAACTGACAAGTCACCAAGTCACAAGAATCCTAGCATAGGGCTAGATCTAAAATCGGTAAAATCACGATATAGCGTCGGTTATTATTCCGGAACTGTACAGCAGTAAAAAAACAGTAAAACCATGGCGTAGTCTGTCGAGCCGTTCCGGAAACCACCGGAAATACTGTAAACCATCATTTATTTGCCGCCATATTATTTTTAACACATAATGTTTAAAAATGTGCAAGGATTGATTTTAGTTGCATTTTTAATACTGTTTTGCTATTTATTTTGTATTTCTAATTATTTTAAGTGTATGTGCTAATTATTGCTGCTACTAAACATTATTCTAGTTATTCTTACTACTTTTAACTTTAGTAAATCTAATCGTCTTTTTACTAACAGAACTAGATCTAGAGCTGGTTGTCGCAAATCTTCTGCAGGTTTTTTCTGTTTCTTAAAAAAAAACATTAATTACTACACTCGACTTTATTAATAATATTTAGATTTACTAATTGTTGCTAATTTTTTGTCAGTTAAACATTAAATTAAGTTAAAACATTAATTTAATGCACTTGACTTTATTTTTCTTTCATTGGTCAAATAAACTATGGTTTACAGTAACGAATGTTACCGAAACTCAACGAACACGGTAACAATACCCAATAATTTCCGACGCTATATCGTGATTTTACCCTAAAATCTAAGTAATAGTGAATAGTGACCTAGACTCTAGCTAGACCTAGTCTCTAAAAGTAGAACTAGATCTAGATCTATATTAATCTAGAAATCTAGTAGATCTGGATCTTGAAAGCTAGACAACTTGGCTTGGCAGTTGTCGACATCAGTGACAAACGTCTGTGACATGTCGAGTACGGAGTAGATTGGTAGAAAAAGAAATCTAGCAAGACAGAGAAAAAAGTAGCACAGACATAAACACACTAATTAAGGCTAGAGTAAGGCTATTCCATACCAATTAATTTTAAATTACTACTATTAGAAACAATAAATTCATACCGACGTCAGCGTCGAAAGGTGTTGCATTAGCAAATAGAGGCATTTTTCTGTTATTTTTTGGTGAAAATATCCTGTATGCTTAGTCTGTGTCTCCCAATATTATTACATTACTGATTCTTCCGCGCATGCGCTTTCGTTACGTCATTGTGTGTTTACTTCCGGATTCTATTAATAAACTATCGCTCAACAACATGTGATGGTGATCTTTATAAGCAGGCTAGGCCGAAACAAATGAAAAAAATGTTTTTTTCCCAGTTAATACGAATCGATAACTAAAATCAATATTAAATAACAACAATTACTACACAATATAAAAATGTATCTAAAATATGTTATTTTAAAAAGTATTGAAATATTTCTAGAAATTGATGCTTGGGGGGGGGGGGGGAGTGGGGGGTTCGTAATTTTGTGACGTGGGGAGGGGGCGGGATGATTCGGAAAGTGTGAGGACACACTTTAGCATAAAAATGTAATGAACTTTAGATCTAGTCGTTTTTGAAAGGATGTTATAAAACTGTATTAGAAATTGGCCGAGCTCAGCATACTTTTTAGAAAGAAAAAAAAATTATATTTAAAATGAGACCAACAAACCTGCAATTTTGAGGGTGGGTAGTATGCTGAGGTGTGACGTCATTTTATTGGGGGGGGGGGGAGTAAGTGTCTTGCTTTTTCTGTGACGATGTGTGACCGAGGGGGTATAAAAATCGTCAAAAAAGCGTGACGTGTTATTTTTTTATGACCCCCTGACGATCACTGATGAGAATGGCCCATTTATGTAGATTTTAGTCTAAAAGTAAAGAATTAAAGAAGTGTTATATTATTGTAGTTATTGTGATAGCATATTTTATTTTTTTTTAATTTTATTTTAAGTGTAATAAATATAATTAGGCCAAATTAATCAGTGCGCAGTTGTGTTAGAACACCTCAAATTAAAGATAGTTAAATGATAATAAAGAATACCTTGTAATATACAACAATTTATATTTACGTCTTAGAAAAAGATAGTAAATTCTAAATAATGGGAAAAACGCAATTTCTTTTAAGTTAAAAAATAAATAACTGACACTGAAAGAGACTAAACATATTTATAACGATTACTTCCAAAATAAAAATGTTTTCAAAACAATAGACATGTTTCCGACAATTTTTCCGACAAAATAGAAAAAGTAAAATAACTTCAAACACCATTTTCTATTTCTATTACTATTAATAACGTTGAAAGTAAAAGTGAAAAACTGAAAGCGAAAGGGAAAAAAAAAAAATCTTTTAAACATGGATTGGACATAAATGTGTTGAAAAGTTTCAAGCAAAATTCTACTTTCTTATAATAATTACATAGTGGCTAAACTCTGGAAAGTGGTATATGTGACGATTAGAGGACCAAAAATAAATAAAAATTGCCGATTTTTTTCATTTAAAAAATTCATTTAGTTCATGAAATCGCAATATTTTATTTTTTTCCCGTACTTCGCTGTTTTTTTTTTTAAGTCTTCAGATTTATCCAATAATAACCTCACACACTTATAGGAGGATTAAGGATACATTACTTTGCAACAATGAGTGACAAAGTGACAACACAAGTTAGCATAAAAAATATAGATCTACTCTCTAAAACATAATAGTAAAAATTGCTCAATATGTTGAACTTCTTAAAATACGAGAAAAATGGGCGCTAGGTTGATAGTGCTTTTTCTCTAAACTAAAACCAACCCCCCCCCCCCCCACACACACACACACACACTCCAAAACATGTCTACCGTCCCATTCAACGAAATATAATTATATACTTTTTCCAGTGTCCGCCCCCTCCGCGAAAATTCTACCCCCGCCCCCGAAAATTTCAAGTACCCTCACCCCTCTCCGGGGAGGAAAAAGTCTGAAAGAAACACTGGTCGCATTTGTAGATCATACAAACTAAAGGAAGAACCTGGGCTGGGCTTCGCCCCTACCGAAAGAGATGCATGAAAAAAACTGCACGCTAAACACTTTTTTTAGATTAGAGAAATTCCTCCCTCCGGGGAGGAAAAAGTCTGAAAGAAACACTGGTGTCGCGCTTAGCCACTACCCGAAGAATTGCATGAAAGAAACCACTTTTTAGATTAGACACATTAATTAGACGGTAATTTTATTATAGAGTATCGATGAAGAAATTTCTTTTGAGTTGGGGAGGGGGGGGGGGGCTCAGACGTTCTTACGCCGGGGATGGGCTTCGCCCCTACCCGAAGAATTGTATGAATGAAACTCTTCACGCAAACCACTTTTTAGCATAGACACATTAATTAGGCTGTAATTTTATTATAGAGTATCGATGAAGACATTTTTTTTTAGTTGGGGGGGGGGGGGGGGGGTCGGCTTAGACGTTCTTACGCGGGGGATGGGCTTCGCCCCTACCCGAAGAATTGTATGAAAGAAACTCTTCACGCAAACCACTTAGATTAGACAAAGTTGGCTTTTTAATTCAATGTTTACTCGAGAATCAATGACGTCATATTACTGTGTGCACTCTCCGGCTTGAGATTATTTTTTTACTATATGCTAAATGTGACGTCATATTTCGTTTCCGTATTACTCTGAAAGTTTTTATCTTGCTTGTGTTTTCTCTAGAGCGTTCTTGTCAGATACATAGACAGATAGATACACAAACAGCGAAACTATTAGTATTAATAAATAAAGTTTGACTAGGCCAGATACTATATGCCTACATAGTATAAAATAAGATGTAGGCATATGCCTAAAAAGGTCTTCTGCGGGCAAAACGAATGTATAGGTCTGTTTGTGTTGGTCCTAGCCTATAGCCACTATATAGGCTATAACTTAACGGGTTTTCAGAATTGTCAATTGTTCTGAATCGTTTCACTTTACCTTATCAAAACTGGTATTTTTTTTTTAAATTCAATCCGCAATGATCAAATCATAAGAATAATTGCCAGGCTACTTAAACGAAGTGTCTATTCCAGTCGACTGGGAATAGCCGTATTAGGGCTATTCACAGTCGTGACTTTTTTTTAATGATTTACTGTTAAAAACACCAATTTTAGCATGAAGTAGTGAAGTAGTAGTTGTGTGGTCGAGTGGAAATGTGGGTGACTACTGTCACACTGGGCCGGATGGTGCGGGTTCGACCCCCCCCCCCCCGAGAAAAAAGTCTGCAAGAAGCAGTTGTGTTCTTTTCTACATAAATATGCCTTGTGCTTTCTTGCCTCCTGCCGTTTTTAGCGCAATTTCCATACGGACAATTGCGATTATTAACTCGTCATTTCTGGATGGATGGATGAATGAATGAATGGATGTTTGTCCGCAGCTTTAAGTCGTATCTCCTCCTCAACGAAGCAATATCGAGGACTAGTTCCAAAGCAAATATGTTAAGCAAGTTTCGAGGATGATTGTGGGCCAAAAAAATTCCCGGAATTCCTTCCTGGATTTCCCGGAAAAGCCAAAAAACCTCGAAATTCCTGGATGTATGGATGTGTGTCCGCAGCTTTAAGTCGTATCTCCTCCTCAACGAAGCAATATCGAGGACTAGTTCCAAAGCAAATATGTTAAGCAAGTTTCGAGGATGATTGTGGGCCAAAAAAATTCCCGGAATTCCTTCCTGGATTTCCCGGAAAAGCCAAAAAACCTCGAAATTCCTGGATGTATGGATGTGTGTCCGCAGCTTTAAGTCGTATCTCCTCCTCAACGAAGCAATATCGAGGACTAGTTCCAAAGCAAATATGTTAAGCAAGTTTCGAGGATGATTGTGGGCCAAAAAAATTCCCGGAATTCCTTCCTGGATTTCCCGGAAATGCCAAAAACCTCGGAAAAAATGCAGTTTTTGGCCCATATCTCGGCAACCAGACCATTTAGCGACTTGAAACATTTACCAATCGATTTCTGCCATAATTTAGAACAATATTGCCGAAGAAAGTTTTCAAAAATATCCTTTCGTTCTGTCACAATTTTTTTTTAAAAATTACATAAACACCTACAAACAGATCGTTCTCCTAGCTTGAACGCACCCCAGCATTATACGTCTTGTGTTTTGTCCCCGTGTGTGCTTTACGCTACGACAAATCTATTTTTAGATAACAATGAAATTGCGCTTAAATTGTCACTAGACTTTTTATTTACTTGTTTTAGTAGCCCTACTCATCAAGCATTGTGTTTCTTTTCAGCCGAGTCTCATTGATAACTGCATCTTGTTGACTTCCCATGTGCATTTTTGTATTACATTCTAAATTGTAAGTCTCTTAAGTATGTGTATCCATCAGTCCTTATTTTTCTCGGTGGTAAGCATTGTCTTATCTATATTTGCTGCAAATGTTGTCTCCCTTTGATGTTGTGTATATTGGAATAAAACATAACTTGGCCCTACCATTTCAGAGGAATAGGATCACTGGTTTCATGTATTTTTTTAAAAAGCAAATTTCATAAGTATTTTACTTATAGTCCACACTAATACTAGGATTAAAGGGCAAAACATAATAAATTACTTAAGAATAAAAAAAGAATAAAAAAAAAGCTCAGGCTGCATTTTTATTTTCAATAATGAACAAAATCTTAGTAACAATTTTAAACATTTAGTAAGACTTGTCAATAAGCCACAGTTGTATAATCATATTACTAGTAACCACACAGTGAGGCAAGCTGAAGGTGAACTTTAGCCTTTACTGTTTCAATTGAGTGCACTACCTTTGTACCTAGTCACCTCTATAGATAGGAATGCGATTGAGTGCACCACTTTTGTACCTAGCCGCCTCTATAGATAGGAATGCGATTGAGTGCACCACTTTTGTACCTAGCCGCCTCTATAGATAGGGTTACATTTGAGTGCCCTAACACTGGACCATCAAGTTGCTCCTACAGACTAGCAAGTAATTGTGGCTAACTGACAAGAACAAGCTTAACATACAAATTAATTCATCGGAATAAGTGGTTGTCTGGGTCGTTTTGAAAGAGAATAGACTCTTCCACAAAGTCTAACTCATCGGACCAGCAGTTGTTTTTGCAGGTGAATATCAGGACAGTGCCAAACTCAACTTTTGTTTCTGTACCTGAAACACACAACATTGCAACATTAGTTTGAGGACAGTTCCAACATATGAACTATATTTATTCTGCCCAATAGGATCGCTGGGTCTAAAGAGGAACTTTTAAGGACAGTTCAATGATCAACTGTTGATTCTGTACATGGACCAACTCAACTGTAGTTTGGTATAATAGCCAATCAGCTCAAAACAAACTGACATTAGTTTAGTCACCCAGGCTTAGTCCACCACTACAAAATATTCTGACTGTACTTTGTTCAGTAAATTCATTAACACAAAACAATAGTACAGTCATTTCTGTAATGTCCAGTAATGATGCCATACACCAGGGAAGGCAGTTACATTTCTTCTTCTTAGTTCTTAATTTTGTTGGAAGGGATCCCCTACAACACAATTAAGTATACTGGTTATGCACCATTGAGGCCATTGACTCAATTTCAGCCAGCTTTTCTTTTTGGACTTGCTTCCATAGCCTTTGTCCAACCAAGAACTAACTACAAGGCAGCAGTTGTTTGATTTTGGAGTTGTCTCTCCTAGAATAGTTGCTGTCCCCAGCTAAGGAGCCTCATCTGCCAGAGGTTTTGAACTTGAGAGTTTTCGATTTAGCAACCATGAGCTTTACCGACCCGACCATACCGCCCCTGCAGTTACATTTGAATGCTGTTTATTTTTAGTGAGTGTTGGAATATTGATAATCATATCTGGATGGATGGGGGCTGTCAATTAGTGGTGAGAAGATCGGTCGAGTAGGTACAGCTCATGGTTGCTAAACAGTAAAGTCCTGAGTTTAAACTCCGGGACAGAGGAGTCTCAATAGCTGGGGACAGCAATGCAACTAGCAAAGAAAACTTTTAAATCAAACAACTGCTACCTTGTAGTTTGTTCTTGGATGGACAAAGGCCATGGAAGAAAAGCCAAATGGAAAAGCTTGTTGAAACTGGCGTCAACGACCTTTATGGCACACAACAGGTTGACACATAATACTAAATGGAGTGAGCTTTTGACCAAACAGGGAACTGAACTTAAAAATAGTACACCACAAACAAAACAAGTGCTGTTTAAATCAGTTTATACATTGACAAAATAGGGGCGGGCAGGGGTAAATAAATGCCTACTGTCAAGCATTTTATAGGATTAAAGTACACTGAGCAGGATGGGGTTAATAAATTCACCATAGCCTACCATCAAGACTCTTTAACCAAGGTATAAGTGGAGGCAATAGCTGAAGCTCAAACACTCTCGGGTAGCCACAGATGGTACAAGATGCAATAGATGGGGTACCTTCCAGTTTGTTAATAAACAGTGGTTCACCTTCTCTCTCATATCTGAATTTATAGTAAAAATAAAACAGTCCTTTTATTCTATTTTTCTAGAATACAATTATCCAAAAAAAACACTTTAAACCAAACTTGGCGATTTTTAATTCCATAACAGTTAACCTCGCAATAGTTCATAACAATGTTTCAGTAAATTAAGGAAATACAATATATTTTAACTAATACCAATCAATGTTCTATTTTTAGTCAAATATGATAATGTTTTATTATTTTAACGCTATATTAACGAAGTGTCTACTCGGAATAAGATTTTTCGGCAAAGGATAGTTCTGCGCATGCGCAGTGACCTATGGCTAGGGTTAGGGCTAGAATGAGGGTTAGGGGTAGGATTAAGGATAGGGTTAGGGATAGGATTAGGGCTAGGGTTAGGGATAGGGTTAGGGATAGGATTAGGGATAGGGTTAAGGATAGGATTAGGGTTGGTATTAGTAACTATTAGGGTTCTGCGGTTGTAAACACACGCATGCGCAGTACCATCGAAAACATCGCCGCTAAGTCGTAGTTTCCCTCCATTGCGCATGCGTATCGCATGCGTATCTTATTCCGACTAGAATCGGCCCTATATTAATTGTAGGCCTAAAGATTTCACTACAAAAAATGGAAAGCTTGAATATATGAATAAACAAAATTTTTTTATGAACCTGATAATCTGTTCAGGACACCGTTGCAATCTCTTCAAAAACTTGTGGAAAATTTTGTCTCCATGTTTCAGCTCTGTCTTTTCATAACTCTCAGTACTAACTTTTCCTTTGCCTGTGTTAGGCCTGGGGGAACACAACAATTAAAACATAATAACCATTAATAAACAGTGGGATAAAAAGTAGCAAGAATTAAACAGTGGAACAAATAACAAAAAAACTAATTTTTAAAGAATTTAAACTTAATTAAACAAATAAAATACTTTAAAAAAAACTTTTTAAAAAACCATGTTTTTCTTGTGGACTAAAAAGTAGAAAATAAATTTTTCTTCCGACCCTAGGGGATCTACCAATGACTGCTCGTAGATTTTGTGCTTCCTCGAGCTGTGCAGGTTCTTGTGATGACTGTTCATACATTTGATGACAAAAAACGTGGGTACGTTCACCGACCCACGTTTTTTGTCATCAAATGTATGAACAGTCATCACAAGAACCTGCACAGCTCGAGGAAGCACAAAATCTACGAGCAGTCATTGGTAGATCCCTTAGGGTCGGAAGAAAAATTTATTTTCTACTTTTTAGTCCACAAGAAAAACATGGTTTTTTAAAAAGTTTTTTTTTAAGTATTTTATTTTCTCCTTTTTAGTCCGTTGCTACACATGAAAAACGTGGTTTTTTAAAAGTTTTTTATATAGTTTATTTTCTACTTTATCTAATGACTTGATTAAGTATGACTTGACTAAGTGTTTTTAAATACATAAAAATTTAGAGGATTTTTTTATCAAAATAAATAGGATCAAAAGGTTTTTGAATGCTTTTAGGTAGTTGGCCCACCGTCCATCCCTCCTCGAACAGATTAACTGTCGATTCTCCACCCACCTTAAGCATTACACTGTAAAACATTCAAAAAAAAAAAAAAAGAGGCTGAAATGAAACTAAAATGATTAATTTTGCTGTGCTCGATTCTGGGGCTGATGGTTCCGCATTCTCTCCATTTCACGGATAGCATCTTCATTGCAAGGTTTTCTTCCTGCTAATTTAGCGAGATCCAATTCTTCGATACGCAATCCTTCCAACGAGCGAACTCTGCTTAATGCGGCGTAAGCCTGTCCATCCGCAAAGAGCTTGCTTCCTAGGTTCACCACAGCTTTGTCCACGGTACATCCTTGCATTTTGTGAACTGTGCACGCCCAGCACAGAATCAATGGGAGCTGTCGTGGTTCAACCTTTCCTTTATTTCTTACGGCATCAAACTGAACAGACTTTGGTTGAACTATTTTCTCACCGTACGGGGGACCAAAATCGATTTTGACATCTGGAATGTCTTCCTCATACATTTGCGTACGTCGAGTGTTGTTGCGCCACTGTATTTCGACGATTTGACCCATCGCTCCATTTATGAGCAGTGTTTCTTCCAGACTTTTTTCTCCGGGGGGGGGGGGGGGGCACTTGAAATTTTCGGGGGGGGGGGGGGGGGGGCGGTAGACTTTCTTCGGGGGGGGGGGCGGACACTGTTAAAAGTATATATTTTCTATATAAATTATATAAATTTCATTTCGTTCGGGGGGGGGGGGGGGCGGTAAAAATTTTTCGGGGGGGCAAAGAGATGCCTGGAAGAAACTCTGTTTGCGAGTCCTTCTTCAATACAAACGTTATAACGCAGCATTACTCGAGCGCCGACAAATATTTCAACGTACTGCTGCAGGCCTCCAGTCTTGTCGGTATCTTTAGAAATCATGTTCTCAATTTTAGGGTCCTTAGTGTTTTTAGGAGCTTCAATGATTTCATCCTGTGCCTTAATTTTGTATACCCGAGTTCCGTTGCTACGATTTAGTTCAAGTACAGCATCGTTGTGTTTTTGAACTTGCGCCTTTGTTGGGTTGATCCGAATCGCCTTGTCGACGGCAAAATCACTACGAAGATCCTCATTCGTGAGCATTTTTGACAAGAGCAATTCAAAATGAGACGCGTTAAGCTCTCCAACTCGCAGGGCGTTCAAAAGATCGGCGAATCTAGTGTCTCCTCGTTGTCGCATGTTTTCAGTTAATTCCACCAATGTGAATTCTCTCCATAAGTGTGAGGCAGGAACATATGACAAAGGCTGATCAAAATCACCAAAACACGATGACATTCAGACTTCCAAACACTTGATCTGGGTTATTCTTCAGCTGTCTTAATCGTGTGTCGATTTTACTCAGCATTTGATACGACACCATACTGATTTCGTCGATTGAGAGAAATTCAATGTTTTTCCATTGTTGTCGCATTACCTTCAAGTATCTTCCCGTCAGCTGATCCATATTTTTTGTTGTTTATTTTTTTCACTAAGGGGTCTTCACAATGCGCGTCACACTTTTTATTGAAAGGCCCATTTTCAAATCTTGAGCGACCGATACGCTTTAAACAGAGAAGGGGCGTAATTTAATTAAGCTAATTTAGGTCTCTAATTGCTAGTTTTTATGATTGCATCTGAAATTGTTAGGCGAAAATAGCCTGCATGCCGAATTTCAGATCTCTAGAGCAATCAGAAGTGGGCTAATTTTTGTTGTCAATTTTAACAACAAACAAATCCATAAACAAACGCGAAGCTGAGTTAAGAAAAACGTGGTAAAAAGAATCATGTAAATTGTAATATGCAAAATCAATATGCAAAGTGAAATAGAAGTAATTGGTGTTTCTACAGTTACTGTGAATGGGGGTATAGGGTAGCTAGGCAATGGCCAGCTGCCTATATTGCTGTACCTTGTTTACGTGGGCCCTGGGACACTAGCTGTGCAGGTAAATCAAAATGCCAGCTTGCTAATTTTAAAGCATGGGATATATAGGTGTTTCCTACCTCTCTATCACCCAATGCTGACTAGGAATTTAACCCAATACAAGCTGCAAGATTTGAGAGCCCACAACTTAACTCTTCAGTGTGTTCTGGTTGTTTTTTGTCTCATATTCATTGTGTGGGTTATTGGACCAACTTTGGAATACGTTTATATATTTTCTATAATTCCATTTTGTTGGGGGGGGGGGGGGGGTAGACTTTCTTCAGGGGGGGGCGGAGCCTGGATGAAACTCTGCTTCTGCCATCTATTTAAATCAGGTGTCTGCAGCAATCTTTGAATAAAACCTTGTTATCCATTTTTTTTAAAGCTAAAGCACACTTTTTTTTGGGAAGCTATATACTGACAGGTGCATTTTGCTTGTATATGATTATGAAATGAATACATTTTAAAAAAACCCATTATTTTTATATAATCTACTTCTATTCTTTTCTCAATAATAAGTCCTGGCAGCATTATTGTTATTATTAAGGGCAGCATTATTCATTAATGTGCCACAGGCTGTTTCTTAACCACAGGTGGCAGACCACTTGTTTTAAAACAATTCTTGCATAAATCAGTTCTTCAAGTTAAGGGAAAACAGAAACAGGTGTTGCAACAGAAATAGCAATGTGATCCTACATTGTTATTGAATGACTTCAAGCAAGGGGTTAGCTTTAACTTTATGAGGCTAGATCTGTAGGTGGATATTTGGCTGTGTAAATGTGACGCTTCTCAGTAGGTGTGAACCCTTATTACTAAGACTAGATTTCAGTAAAAGTAATTCAAGTTTTAAGGGACAGCGTGGTTGAATAGTTGAGCTAACCCCAAAGTCTCAAGTTCAGATCCCGGGCTTGATGTACTTGAGTCCACACAGCTTTGATGGGTACCTGAATCACGTTAGGGGAACCAAGCCATGCTATACCTTGTATGCCAAGGTAATTAAAACAGATAACACTAACTTTAAGCTTTAATGTCAAAGAACCATTTTGAAGTATAACTAACAAAAATATAACTGAATATTTTCAGCAAAAACGTTTTGATAAATTGCTCATTTTTTGCAATAAGGCCGTTGACCCCTAAAATGTGGAGTAAAAAATTACTCTAAAAAACCAACAGACTTTAAAAATAACACTGAGTCTTCAAAATGCTAAACATCTACAACAGATGTTGCATAATATGAGTCAATTAATAGCAGCTATCTCATTGGATACTTGGGTATTTGATACTTACTTATCAGATAACAGTGACCCGAGAGGTTTGCCTTCGTTTTTCTCGTAGGTCCTGATTAGATTCTCCACATGTTCATCATTGAAGCTTGTGTTACGAGGCTCGTCAATAACGTTTAGATAATATGCTTTGAACACAACAGGTTTTTTCCCCACAGCCACTGATTCTGAAAGCTAATTGTTTTTTTAATAATATTTTATTAATACAAATAACAGAATAAATTATACAGTTTTTAAATTTAAACTGCAGTGTTTTAATAGCATAGACACATGTTGTTACAAATCAATATAAATTTATCCTGATATTTCTAACTTAATGTGGATGTTGTATAAAAAATGTAAATGCTTCGGTGTTTAAAAAAAGGAAATTGATGTTTTGCCTTGATAACATTACTTGAGAGTGACCATCCAAAAATAAATTACCAAAATCAACATTTTTTTTCAGTCTAATTATCAGATGGACTTTCTAAAATGAATACCCGTTATTCAAGTTTTTAAGCATGAAAGAAATATATGCACCTAATTTTGAAAGACTATAAGACAGACAATAAAAGTTTATTCAAAAAAAAAAAAGAAACATTTTTTTTTAAAATAATTGCAATTTATATTTTAATTCCTATAAAAGTATTTATCAAATAATTATTATGTGCAGCAACAAAAAAGAAAAGTAAGGGATCTGGATGGGTGTATATTCTCAAATGAGGGCAAGAGGTTTGCTATCAGATGTAATTTTAACCCCCAACCACCAAGGAAATAGGTAAAAGAACAACCTCTGGACATTCTGTGTTCAGGATTTGAGTCATGGCTGTCCATCTTTCTGTATCTGGCACAACAAAGTCCTCCATGACCACTCTAGGTTCACCAACATCTCCAAAACATTCTCTGTCTGCAACCTCACTTCTTCCTGAGGAAAAATAAAAAGCAGAATGTATATGTGTGTTGCAATAAGGGACAACATGGTCAGATAGTATTATAGCACATGACTGCTAACCTGAAAATTTCAAGAACTGATTTCAGGCTTAATTCAATAGGGTTTCACGGAGTCCACAAAGCTAAGGTGGGTACTTGACTCATGTAAGCGAAAGTAAAGGAAACTGGGCATAGAACTGACAACACTATCCCTTTGCATGCTGAGGTCACTAAAACAGTGGAACTCTGCCTGCTTACTACTGCCAAGTTATAAAGGGTACATTATTGTTATTCTTTAGTTACTTTCTTTTTTATATTATTTTCACTGGAGTGTACAAATCAAGATAAAAAGGGAAAATGTAAAACAATTTAATTAGACTCTTAATTATAGTATAATAATTTTTTAAATGTAAAATAAATCAATAAATGATTAAAATTTCTTTACCTTCTGGTTGACTAGATTGTGGCTGATCTTGAACATCTGCAGATATGTCATTTATTCTTAACTTGAGAAAGAAAAAAACAAATAGTTACCAGCACTGAATACCACCTAATTATTTACCACTACCATCACACAGAATGCTGTACCTCTGAAAAGGTGTTTAAATTATCTACAGCTTCAGCTTGTCCACTATTTAGAGCAGTGGGGTTTTCTGATGACAAAGTTTGTTGACATTGTACCAAGTTTCCCAAATGTGGGGGTGTTTCAGCAACTTCATCAATTTCTTGGTCTTCATCTCCATTTAGAGCTTCTCCACATTTTTCATCCTCGCTCCATTCATTTGAACCATCCCCCCAGTCATCTTGGCCAACCTGTCCCCAGTCATCTTGGCCGACACCCCATTCACTAGCATCACTGACATTAAGTTTTTGTTTACTCGGATTCTTTGACCTGTCATAACTTTCGTCATAAGCCATTGATCGAAACACTCTCCATCTGTAAAAATAATTAAAAAAATAATTTCATGACAAACTGTTTTTTTAAACAAAAAAATTCACTGAAAAAAAACATTGACCCCTCAAATACAAGTAGCAACTTAAAAAATAGTGTCATTACTAGTGGTTAAGTGGTAAATAGAATATAAACACTAACAAGAGGAACCTGTGTTTTAAAGTTTGAATCAAAGATTAATTGTTATTTAGCTCAAGCCTAACCGACCTTTATTTTTTTTTACTTTACTGGAAAAATTATTGCTTAAGAAGGTAGTGGGAACAGTTTCACATTACTCATTGACTTATAGTACTGCTTATATCTATATCTATATCTATATATATATATACAAAATATACCCACAAATACATATTACTGACTACCCCAACTTACCCATTCTGCTGTCGACTACAAAGGTCACTACAAGCATACACATAAAGACATCTATGATAAGCAGATCCATGTAAAGGGCAGTACAACTGACTAATTAAAGTGGATGGTTGACCACAAACTTTGCATTCTGGGATTCCCTGATTGGCTTCAGCTTTTAGATGATTCTAATTTAAAAAATTAACACCTATTCAATCATTTTTAATATTAAGAGTAGTTAGGCCTAATATAATTTATAAATATAAAAAATTATAGAGGCCTAGATATAAATTTTACAGAAGGACAGGATGGTCGAAGGGTTGATTTAAGCATTTGACTGCTAGCTAGAAGGTCTCGAGTTTGAATCTAGGGCACTGACAGAAAAAGATAATGATGATAAAAGTTATAAAACAAAACCTATAGGCCTACTATAACGAGGGAATTTTCATACCAGTGTCCAATTATAGAATCTTCTTAACCATACCATAAAACTCGTTGAGATTACAATACTACTAACAACCTAATGCCCTAATGGTCTAACAGACACCTATTTTTGAAAGTCTATTTTTAATTTATAATATTTAATCGTTGGACATAATTGTATGATAATAGGTATCTTCAATCATTCATTTTTTTTTACATATTTTAGAATGTTGATGATTGTTGTATAATGTTGATGTTGTATGTAGGGTGTAGGCCTATGCAGGTAAAACTCCATTTTAGCATATTTTATTCACAGCTTCACTCCCACCTCCAGTTGCCATGAAAATCTTAACTGACACACGAACATACTACATAGCAGTACATTCAATATTCCAAATTTGGATTTTTCTCAAGTTTTGACAAAACTTTTTTATCAAAAACTAAAACAAAAATTCATAAAGAAATAACTTTTTAATAAGCCCAGGCCCAATGTTTTCCTGACGTTTTTGTGTGTTTCAATTGTGAGTTTATAATAAAATACGCTCAACTGGAGGTGAGCGTGAAAGGGGAATAAAATACGCTAAAATGGAGTTTTACCGACTATACTATGCTGCTAGATCTAGATCTAGCAGCTATGCCTATGGCAGGCATGGGACCTGATTTTACTGATTTTGTTTTTACAATCACAGCTGACTCACGGGCACACCTCCAATTTTACTAGTTTCAAACCCGAATATGTCTGTGTCTTCAATAGGCTGGTCTATCAAGCCTATTAATACAGACATAGTTCTCAATATGTACTTTAAGTGTGCAGATCTAGACAAATAGCCTACGTAAACTTGTAAACATTTAGCTTCGAAACATCAACAGAAACTGAAATCATGGCTAGTAACATACGGAAAGAGAAAACGAAAGCGGAAGTTTAAACAATTTTAATTGAACTTAAATACATACGAGCTCTAAATTAAACCTCTTCTTTGACCTCGGGGATATTTTTCCAATAATTTAACCAATCAAAGTTCTAAAAGGCTGCCATAGCATCATGGCTGGGGCTGTTTACAATTTTCAACAGGGATGATACACCCACTTATAAATCTTATCTTTACTCACACACAATAGAAGTAAAAACAGTAACAAAATATTTATTTTACACAATTTGATATATTAGTAGTTATTGGATATGGCAGAAGTTAACAAATTACAAATGGAAGACATGAACAATGCAGCTGGCGATCACGAAGAATCAACTTTCGATGACATCGAAATGGCATGTACCGGAATAAATATGCTATTGAACAACGGCTTTGACGAAGCGTTTGCTCTTTTTGAGAAATACAAGTAGGTCTAATACTAATAGTTTTAATTTTTGTAATATTTTCTGCTTAGTGGAGGTTCATTCCTTCAAGACATCAAGTAGTGACAAGTACGTCAAGTTGACAAGTAGGGCCTACATCTCCGAATCTGAGATTAGTGACATTTATTAACTTATTAACAAAATTTATTAGTCATCATATATCATTTTCATTAGTGACTAGAGATCTAGTCTAGATCTAGTGATTGCACTGATTACTAGCTAGTGATTAGGCCTAGATACGAAGTGACTACTCGGAAGAAGATTTTTCTCCCCAACGTCTCCACTTAGTCGGCAAAAGATAGCTCTGCGCATGCGCAGTGACCGATGGCTAGGGTTAGAGCTAGAACGAGGGTTAGGGGTAGGATTAGGGATAGGGATAGGATTAGGGCTAGGGTTAGGGTTTGTATTAGGGTTAGGGATAGGATTAGTGTTGGTATTAGGGTTCTGCGGTGGTAAACTCACGCATACGCAGTACCATCGAAAACATCGCCGCGAAGACAAGTCGTAGTTTCTCTCCATTGCGCATGCGTATCTTATTCCGGCTAGCATTGGCCTATTAATTATTATTAGTAGGGCCTAGGCCTAATTGGTTTACATTATTAGTGTTTTTAACACCAATATTCTAATTCAGTCAGCAGAGTAATTTTCATTTTTTTTTTTTCAATTCAGAAACAGTCCTACCCTAATGACTAACTAAACATTTAAAATAGTCTTTATTAATTTAATGGGTTATTTCTGTCTTTAGTTTATGCTCTATTCTATAACTCACTACAAGCAATAATGCTAATATAATGTGGTTTAATGAAAATACTTTGGCCTAGCCTATGCCTATAGGCTATAGTATTTAATTTACTATTTAGTATCTGACTATTTAGTAATATCAGTATCAGGGTAGTAATATTTTTTATTAAAGTGAGAGTGACAACAAAGAAGCTGGCCTGACCTTTTAACAGTATAACCTAAATAACCTAGATATAACCTGTAATGGGATATTTATTTATTTCTAGAAATGAAAGTCCATTGATGCACTCTGGTTACAGCTTTGTCTTCTTTATGGTAAATGTGTTTGAATTTTATTCTTGATAAATAGTCATTTAAGCTAGGCTTCATTTTTCATAATGATCTAATGGGTTTAAATATTCCTTTTATTTTTATGTTTTTTTTTTTTTTTTTTGTTTTCCTCAAAATTAATATTTATAAATAAGTTTTAAAGAATTTAAAATTAAAATAAGGTTTGACCTGTTTTATTAAATATTACCTAGATTTAAATTATACAATTTTAAAATGTAATAACCAATACACAATTTTTCTAGCAAGCCTTGATGTCATTTGAGGAAGAAAAACTTGGCGAAGCCCACAAAGTACTGCAGGAAACAGAGAAAAAATGCTCATCACATGATGGTTTTGTTAAGTCTTTCAGGAAAAAATTCTCAAAGAAAAAAGTAAGTGTCCTTTCAAGTCACTGGTCTTAATTATTTTTATTTACTTTAACTTTACACAAATAAATATTGTATGAATTCTGTTTGAAAATACTTGAACATTTTTTTCTTTTTCTAGTCGGAAAATGCAGTAATAACAGAGGAAAGAATAACCAATCAGATAATAGTTGCAGATTGCCTGCTGTACCAGGCTATTCTTGTGTTCACCAATCAGGATATCCCAAGTTATGTCAAGGCTGGCTGGCTGCTGCGTAAAGCCTGGAAAATTTATGAAAAACTTCACAAGTAAAGTGTTAAAAGTTAGATTTGTTTTGTAAAATAAAAGTTGAATTTATAATAAAATGAGTTCTAACTGATAAAGACTAATCTATTACTTATTTTAATCCTATCATGACTAATTGCGTGTAAGCATATTTCATGTTGGTATTTTTCTTTAATATTTCAAATAATAATGAAATGCAGGTTGTTCAGCCAAAGTACAAGTTTCTTTGCAGTTAAGATATGCCCCTTAGTTTATTAAAGTATACAAGCCGACCCGCTGCGTATCATACGCCGCTATTTAGTTGTTTTTTTTTTTCTACTTTTCAGTAATTTATAATTTGTGAATTCGACAGTACCAATGCTGCCACTGAAAATATTTGCTTAAAAACACTAACCCCCCCTTCCCCCCCCCCCCCCCATGTGAAAGCAGCCTCCTCTTAGTTACCTCCTCTAAGTTTAAAATCGTTTCAAACTAAATTTTCTGCCCCTAATAGCCGTCACCAAACCCGTCTCTATGATTGTAAAATGTAAACAGCGTGAACCCCAGCTCACCAGGTGCTGCCTCCGCCATTTCCAGTTTTTAAAGAGATCATTTCAAAATCAAATATTGTTGATGTTTATAATATTGTAATTAACTTACTCAAAACACTCCATACAGGGAAATAACAACACTAATGGAGATACTTGCCCAGAACAAAATTGCCAAACTCTCATCCTCTGTTGACCCCGCCTCCTTCCACACACCAGCAGCAGGGGGACCCAACCATTCAGAAATAAATGGCAGCAGTGAGGACCCTGAGGAGCTGACGGCTGATGTGCTGTCGCGTCTGCTGGGAGCTGTAAACTTTGGCTATGGAACCTTCCAGCTCTGTATATCAATGGTTCCTCCGAAGATCTTGAAGCTGATTGAATTTCTAGGATTTGAAGGTGATAGAGAGGTATGAACACGCTATAAAGTTTTAAGACAATTTAAATGAGGTATTCATTGTTTTTACTCTGTCGTTTTGGCATAATTATTTTTTTTCCTCAAATTTTTGTACCCCTGACTCAAAAAAGACATAATTGTAGCCTTTTAATTGTAGGTAGTAATTTATTTTAAGAAGAGAGAAAATGCACTTTATAATAGACAGCAAAATATAATTAGCAAATATTTATTTATGTTTTTTCAGTCAATTTCATTTATAAAAAACAAAAATGTTTTTCTACTCAATTCATGTTTGGGTCTTAAATAGTTAAATCTTAATTTTTCTTTATCCATATTTTTAGCCTATATTAGTGTTGTTTTGCTCTGTATTACATTATTGTTGCCTCCTTACAGATAGGCCTGAGCTGTCTAGCCTTCACCAGTCACAGCAAGGATATGAAGGCTCCCCTTGCCACTCTCGCCTTGCTATGGTACCACACTGTGTTAAGGCCCTTCTTTGCCCTAGATGGAGCCAACCAGTTTCAAGCAGGTGGGCATGTTATACATTCAACATTAGGAACTCATGAAGGGAGATCACCACTGAGTTTTACTGTTGTTTTCTCTTTTATTTCCTCCCTTTAATAATTGTTTTGCTCTAACCTCTTTAGACAATGTCAAAAGGTTCTGGAATGCTTCAAAGCTTTGATTATGGTTAAATCTAAGTACCTTCTCTAAAGTATTGTTCAAAGTTCTTCAAATATATTTAGGAATTGTGTGGTCAGCACACTGCCCAACTTGAGTGAGGTACCCATTAGAGCTAGGTTGATGATAGGATGTTACATAGCATTTTTCCAGTCTACATAAAAGCCTGTCAATAAAAATGCTTGATTTAAATTTAGTTTTATTTCTTGTTTCTTTGAAGGATCCAAAGAAGCCGAGGCCATCATCAAAGAAAAAGAAGGGGAATTCCCAAACTCTTCCTTGTTTTTGTTTTTCCAAGGAAGGATATGTCGTTTAGAAGTAAGTTATTTCAAACTTTTAACAACTATTGCTGCCCTGACAGTAAATTACAAAAATTTGTGCTCATTAAAATAAAATTGCATCTCATTATTTTAATTTGTTATTTAGTTAATTGCAAAAAACAATTGCATCTCATTATTTTAATTTGTTATTCAGTTAATTAAAAAAAAAAGAAGAAAAAGATGTGTTGATTAAAAATGACATTGTATTAATGTTTTATTGTTGTACAGAAAAAGAATGACCAGTCTCTTGTACTCTACAAAAGAGCCCTAGTTGAGGCTAAAGGTCAAAGGGAAATTGAATTAATGTGCCTGTATGAAATTGGTGAGTTTCTATGTGTATTTTTTTTTCTATTAGCATTGTCATCTTAAAAACTAAAATAGTGCAAATAATCATTTGAAGTCAGAGGTTTAATAAATAAATCTGATGAAGAAGAGTATATTTCTATGACCACAGAAAGGGATAAGATCTAGTGATCAGTATCTCAGGAGTGGGATAAATACATACACCTTGTAATTATATGCAGATAACTGATAATCACACACAAGGCCTTTGTAGTAGCTTTTAACCACTCCATCCTTTATTTAAAATTGTGTTGAATTTTTTAATGATGATTTAAACAAGTTGTATGAGAAATATTGATTTCTCTGAAATCTTTGTTTTGTTTTTAATTAAATAGAATCATGTATGTATTACATACAGGGTGGTGCCATATATTGAAGCTACAATGGAAAGATGCTCAGGAAGGATTTATCAGGCTCCAGAAAGAATCCAAATGGTCTCAGGCATACTACACATATCTTATTGCAGGTTGGAATCTTATTAGACTTTAAAATAATTTGTTGTTATGTTATATGGTAATTATCAAAATAGACATCGTGAAGCAAGGTTGCGAGACTTGGAAGATGTGATTAGAAAAATAAAATATTTTACACTGAGACTTCACTTGCACCATGCCAATCTAAATTTTATTTTACTGTTAAAAGTAAAATCATTGGCCAGATTTTTCCTCATCTTGTAATCTAATTTTATTTTCAGTTTGTATTGGATCTCAGGGGGAGATAGAGGCAGCTCATGATATCTTTCACAAAGTGCCAGGATTGATCAAGAGAAAGAACAACCAGATTGAGGCTTTTGTTGGGAAAAGGGTATGTTTTTTTTTTTAATTTAAAATCTTCAAATTTATAGTTCTTTGTTTACATTTTTTTTAAAATGTCAATGCTGGTCATTCTTTACTATAAATTTGATTTGTTTTTAAAAAGGTCAATCTGTACAATTAGATCTTAAACTGTGATTGATAGTCTAGAACAGGGGTCTCCAAACTACGGCCCGCGGGCCGAATGCGGCCCGCGATGTCCTCTCATCCGGCCCGCGGAGATCTTTTTGTCCACGGAAGAAACGTTTGTTGGTGATGGCTGAGGAACTTTCCCAGAAAAATCAAAGACATACCTGGAAGAAACTGGCCCCCGAATTGAAATTTAATGGTTAATGTGGCCCTCGGACTGAAAAGTTTGGAGACCCCTGGTCTAGAAGATCAACCCTTTGTTGATTCCCCTCATTCCCACACCAAACTGGTAATTAAGCCCAGAACATCTATTAGGTACAGGAAGAACATCTATTAGGTACAGGAAAAACTAAATTAACTAAATTGAGTAAAAAATTAACAATATTCAATAAATTACAACATTAAAATCCTTGGTAAAAATAAGTCATAGTCTAATTTATTTTATTTTGACAGTAAGAACTTTTATTAATAAACTTTTGCGCAGAGCTGAAATCTGCTTGAACTGTATACCCAACACTGAGCCCAGATATTGTAGTCATGCCGCTAAGACATGAACATTAAAGGACAAGCCGCCATTAAATTATACAATTTCAGTTATGTAAAAAGCACACAGTGGTAAAAACACTTCGTGCATCAACGAGGATCATTATTAAAATTTTCTTTGAGAGTCACAGGCAGACAGGACTGCCAAGCTAGATAATGATATGTATACTTCAAAAAACAAATTGAGTGGACATCAAATCCAAGATGCATATAAAACAGCATTACACTTAAAAGCACAGCAAAAGTCCACTCTTTCACACTTCTCTTACAACATGGTACTATCAAAAAATAAACTTATCAAACATAATATTAATCCACACCATCACACTTAGGGTGTAAGAAGTTTTACTTAATTCACATCTAAAATCCACTCCTTCATACCTGCATTCAAATTTATACCATCATTACATTATGTACATGCTTTACCTATACATTAAGTAGCAAACAAATATAGTCTAATATTATTGATGGGAAAAGGTATTAGTAAATGTGTTAGGGGAGTATGAATCGATGAGGTAATGTCCTACTACAGTTTTTACAAATAGGTTAATTAACCTGATTTATATTTTTACCTGCTGACATGCTAGTATTAATGAGAATGTTAATGAAAACTATTTACTATGTATAAATAGGCTGAAAGGTTCAAGAAACTGAAGCCCACTAAAGAACACTGCCGACTACTGACCCTCGAGATGATATTCCTTTGGCATGCTTTGCCAACATGTACACATGAGGAGTTACGCCCCTTACTAAATGGTGAGTTGTGTGGCCACAGTGTGTAGTTGGGTTGAGATGTCTGTGTCATCAAGATGGGGGGGGGGGTTCAATTTTGTAGATTGTCATTTTTTGAAATGATTTTATAATCCTCTGTTGATTCTGATATTTGATCAAAGTGTTTTTTTTTTTCTTTAAATTTGTGGTAGATTAGGTTAAAAAAGTAGCCAAATTAAATTTGTATTTGCATATTTTGTTTTAAAATTGTAACCAAAATGTCAACAAAGTGGATTGTATTACATGATATCCAGATTTTCTGCTAGTATCACTGATAGTGTTAGATATAAGGTTATAATAAGCTAAAGTAAGGATTAGTACCTGTTTAGGTATATTGTAGCAATACAAGTAAAATATAGTTATCATAAGTACATTTTTTGTCACTATAAGCATAGTGTACTTGGTACAGTATAAAAATAATGTCATCATAGAATCTAATGAGTGTCTATTTTTGTTCCCCCAGTATGTGAAATGCAGACAGATCACAATCTGATGCCGTTGAAGTGTTTACTTGAAGGTTCTCTCTACAAGGAACTTGGTGAAGAAGACATGGCTATCAATGTGAGAACCAGTTGCTGTTGTCTAGCTTAGATGCAGAACTTAAATATTAATAGTTGTTAAATAACTAACCTAATCATATTATATTTGGTATTTAAAAGATTACCAATTAACCATTTTAATCTCCAGTGTTTAAAGGAAGCTTTGGCCAGGCACCAAGGGAAGAAAGATGACCTTTTTATACCAGCATTTACTCTATTTGAAATGGCCTCCATATACATGAAAAAACCAGAAGTAATTATATTTCTCATTAGTTTTTTTTTTTACAAAAATCTTTGTTCCACCTGTCGTAACGTGTTTTTTGGTTCGTTTTAATCTGAATACATTTTTACATGAATTTTTTTTTCAGACGATTCCCGACGCTAAGAACAGTCTGCAGATTATTAAGGACAACTACAAAGACTATGATTTTGAAAACCGGTTGAGTGTGCGTGTCAACAATGCATTGAAAAGGTTAAAATTTGGATCAGGCAACCCCACAGCGGTTTAAACGTCTCCGGATATTTGAAAGTAGTGTTGATCAGTTCCACCTGAGAGTATGGTCTTTTCTTCGACCTTGACCTTTTCTTCAACCTTGACACTTGACCCTACACCAGTTTTCTAAAGTACTTTTTTTATATACTAGTCTTAGTTAACTTATTGATAGAAATCCAATTGTTTGTGCAAATGTATGGCTAAATGGATACCTCAACCAATCCATGTTTTGTTAGTTTTTTATTCATTCATTTATACAAATAATTAAATCCAATAATAAGGCTACTGTGCTGATGTGGATATTTTTTATATATATTTTTAGCTTTTATTTAGGCATCTTTTAGTTTTAAATCAATAAATGAATAAAGTCAAAATTTATCATTATAAACACTCTGCAAAAAATATAAACTATAGCTTTTAAGAAATAAATGGTCATTGATATGTTACAGGAATGACACACGAAGACTGTTCTGTAATTTAAACGTTTGTTTTCTACTTTTTTTGTAATGTGTGTACTTTTCATGAAGTTGTGCACAGAAATATTTGATACCTTTAATTAATCACAAATCTGTTATCTAGATACCAGTAACTCTGAAGGTGCCATTGAAAATGCCGACACATGCATTAGTGGTATGACAATAATTGTGTTAATAAAATGCCAAAAAAATATCTAAATGCATGCAGGGACTCTTGAATAAACATAAATTAGTTGTGTACACATCTTTATACATAAATTAGTTGTGTTTGGAGAAGTACTCTATCCATAAACTAGTTGTGTGTATACTAACATTAAATGTGCATACAAAAAACAGGACACCAAGACAGTTATGTTGCTGTGACAACATTTGTTTACTATCATGACACATCAAAATCACATGACCTGACTTCGAAACAATTTTTGACAATATGAGAGGCGATGAATGACTAGCTAGGATATTTCGGCCAACCCGTATCATCTTGCAAGTCTGCCACTCTCAACTTGCAGTTGAGTATAGCATCAGCAGATATTATTCAAGAACAAACAAAATGTAAAAGAAAAAAAGTTTGCTCAAATTATTTATATATCCCCTAAAATAAAAAAATGTAATATGTTGTATACTATGCTTTGCTTCAACTTACAAATACATAGAGTAAGATGACTTGAGATATACATGTGAATGCTTGCTTGAATCTAAGTATAAATCATGTTTTAGTAAACATTTTTTTAATACCTGAAATGGACCTATAACATAAATAATATTTTTTCAATAAAATTGTATGCGCTGGTGTAATAAAACAAGTCTAAAACAAACCTTAGATTTCCAGGATATATATCTAATTTTGAATTTAACATTGGTTGTTTTATGATTATAAATCCCAACCTCCCTCAAATTAAATTTATCAGCAGTTTGTTGTTTACATTTCTGTTTTAAGTTGATATTCACATTTGTTTTGCTTATGATTTGTTTTATTGAAATTCTTTAAAGGTTCTTATTGTTGTACTTATTTTATACCCCACCCTGTGCACTTGTTAACATATTCTAGTTTTTATATCAATTTAAGTTAAACCAATTAGATGTAATTTTTTGTTTTTGCTGTTTTACTGTGAAAAAGGGTCGTGAGATGTAGAAGAAATAATTTGTATCTATATAGGTTGACAAAAAATTTTACCATATGTTTATAACCAAAACTTATCATGCAGAGGCTTGAGCATCAATTCTTTTTCATAGCTATCGTATAGCAACACTTAGTAGTTTAAATCAAGTCTTTTTTGTCCCTTTTTTTATGGCATAAAAGTAAATTACACTAATTTTTTTTTTCTTGTCCGTCTTAAGACATGTTTGTTAACTATGGAATCTGCATTCATTGAGTATTGGTTCGCAGATAATTCTGACTAAAGTGTTGATTAGCTGGCTACATGTTCAGATCTTTACCAGTCAACATACAGATAGGGCATCAGCTATTCCTGAGTCAATTTTAAACTGTTGTTTGTTTATCAGTTCCCAGCAGTTTGGTGTTTTCTCATAGTTGTATATTTTACTCCTGTGTGTTGAAATTATTTATATTTGTTATCTTTTGGTTTTTGTAATAGAGAACTATTATATACTGGGTGCATTGTTTTTCACCCAAACTGGCATGACACATGATTGTGAGTGGACAGATTTCTCCAACATTGCAGGTTAAAGTTCAGCTTACCATTGAATCTTCATTTTATAACTTATTTTTTACACTTTAATGTGATTAAAAAGAATTCAAAACTTTTCAAGATATATTTTATAATTCAACTTTGTTTCACACCCACAAAAATGTTAGCAAAATACTTTTTAATAAACAATTTATTTATAATTTTTTTTTGTTTTAATTGAGTTTTAAAATTCAAAGAAGAAAAATGAACTGTGTGATAGTTAAAAATAGTGCTTCTCCCTCCTCCGTCTCATTTATGTTTATTTGAAAATATTTCAATATAAACATTGGTTTATTGATCAAAGATTCCAAACCTTTCAAATGGTTATGCTTTGGTGAAATACAAGCAATCCCCCTCAGATTAAAGCAATAGCTGCATTAACTAGATTATTGCTAATTTTGTTGCTTTTATTTGGTGTTGTTTTTTTATACGAGTCCACATAATCTTAATATTACAAGATCTATGTAATTTGGGTCACGAAGCTTATCTATGCCATGTTTTTAAACACAGCAATGGGTTGAAGCATAAGGCGTTCCTGCACTTCATTTATCCAAACCATGTTTAAAAACCTCTGGATATAATTGTAATCAGATTACAGACATATCCAAACCATGTTTTAAAAACTTCACTTATTGGAAGAAATGTTTGTTTTTGAGTTTAACTTTCACATTTGATGACTAATTTCTACAAGAACAAAAATGTTTGATAGCATTGGTCATCATTACAGGATGTCATTTAGATTATTAATGCTTAAGTTTCCTGCTAAGTAGACTTAATTAATGTTAATTAAACATTCTTTTCATCAGAAATCTTAATCATGATATTTTATTCAGGAATTTGTTCAACTCTTTTATGGCAAGCAGCATATTTTTTCTTAAAGGTGTTACAGCATTTCTTGAAAAAGTCATGTAGTTCTTCCACTAGTTATAGAAAACGAATTGTAGTACATTTCTTGTTGAAATACGTATGGGTCTCTTAGTTCTAGTTGAAATCCTTATAGGTCTAATATTGTTTATAACTTGTTAATGTATTAGGTTCATGGACTCTAAGATAATTCAGAGGTTAAAATAAAGGCATGTATTTGTTGCTTAAATAAACATATCATGTGCTTTCTGGATAAGAATGATGAACATATGCGCTTTCTGGATAAGATTGATGAACATAACATGTGCTTTCTTGATAAGATTAATGTGCTTTATTTATCTTATAACCTTTTCATATTTGAAATCATAACCTGTTACAGGTTTTTAAATAGTTGATTGAAATTAAATATATTTAATGATATTGCTATATGCTTTAAGTAAGTAGCTTTGATACAGTACAAACTATTACTGAAGAATGCATTTATTGCTATATGCTTTAATTAAGTAGCTTTGATAAAGTACAAACTATTATTGAAGATTGGAGTTGGTAGGTAGACTAGTACAGTAAGAAAATAGTGATAGATAAATAAAGTGACTACTTGTTTATCACTGAGTGTACAACCATACTAAACAAACATGTACTGCTGTTTGTACTTATGTTTGTACATGTTTGTACATGTATCTATTGATTATACAGATGATAGGACATTCCAAGCTGTCATTTAAATATGAAACTTTGATTTAATAAGCTTATTTATGATGAACTAGTTTTTATACTGTGAGCAAATTGTCAGGAACACTGGAGATGTATAATGAATGATTCATGTTAATTGTACACTGATCTGCCATCTAGAAAATAACTTGTGATTATTTCATATTTATTTATTACTATTACAATGCTTTTTTATACTTTAAAGTGGTAAAAAAATGCTTTGGTGGTAAAAAAAACCACTTTAACAGGGTAATATTTCACTGGAAATTATATAATTTTTTTTTTTTTAATTTCAAAAATATGTTTTTTTAATGGCATGTTGTTGCTTGAAATTAAAACATGAGGTCTTGATTTTTATAATTCAATTGCCCCACATTTTGTTAATAAACTTTTCTACAAATTTAGTACTTATGTGTTTGTTATTTTCAAAATGAGCCAATGAGAAAGGTGAAAGTAATCTGAGATAGAACAAGAAATGAAAACAACAAAACTTAACTCAGGCAAGAGTCATTAAACAATATGGGTGTAATGTTGTTTGCAAAGAAAGATAACTCTGAATGATGAATGTATTTTGTCTCCTCGGTGTTACTAATATTAGGTGTTACTTTATTAATGGATTTATTAGACTTAAAGCTTGATTTAGGGACATCTCTTGAAATTACAAAATTACATTTGATTCCTAAAATAATCTTTGATTCCATTTGATTGTTTTTATTTACAATATAGATACAGTTATACATAATGACTATTTAAAATAATTGAAAGAGGCTTGAGATGCATTAAGGGATAAATAATAAAAATGGTTTAAAATAAGAAGCATTAATTTTAACTCAAGAAACCAACAAAACAAATTATTAGAACTGAATTTGTTAATATATATATATATTTCCATTACTGGTTTATGAAAGCAAATCAATACCAGATTTAAATGTTGTGATGGTAAATACTTTTGTACTTATTGTTCCCATTACAAAGCATTGACAAAAAAAATATTTTTAAGTCTCAATGCTATAAAAAAATTTAACCTTAAACAAAATGTAAACATTCATTTTAATTCATCTTCCACCACAACTCTTAAAAAACAAAACAAGAATCACAATGTTTCTGTTGAATATAATTTATTGGGTCTCCTACTAAAACTAACAACTACAGGTTCTCATATAACTACTGACAGGACCTGCTATCATCATGAATAACCTGTGCTTGATGTCACTGATGATGCTGTGGAGACCGCCTGGCTGGACTGAGTGCTGGGCCCTGTTGGTGGCACCCCCACTGGAGCAGTTGCTGACACAGAATCTCGCGCTGTCGCGTAAGCCGTCAGCTGGTCTTTCTCTTCAGGTTCCGCCTTTTTGTAGACAAAATCTCGTACATCTGGTAGGTCTCTGACAACGCAAGCACTCAAGGCGCTTTTGTAGAGGTTCATGTCTGTTGCATTGTACCTGTATTAGAGTGTCTTAAATAGTACTTTTGTAGAGGTTCATGTGTGTTGTATTGTACCTGTATTAGAGGGTCTTAAATAGTACTTTTGTAGAGGTTCATGTCTGTATTGTACCTGTATTAGAGTGTCTTAAATAGTACTTTTGTAGAGGTTCATGTCTGTATTGTACCTGTATTAGAGTGTCTTAAATAGTACTTTTGTAGAGGTTCATGTCTGTTGTATTGTACCTGTATTAGAGTGTCTTAAATAGTACTTTTGTAGAGGTTCATGTCTGTTGTATTGTACCTGTATTAGAGTGTCTTAAATAGTACTTTTGTAGAGTCTCATGTCTGTATTGTACCTGTATTAGAGTGTCTTAAATAGTACTTTTGTAGAGGTTCATGTCTGTATTGTACCTGTATTAGAGTGTCTTAAATAGTACTTTTGTAGAGGTTCATGTGTGTTGTATTGTACCTGTATTAGAGTGTCTTAAATAGTACTTTTGTAGAGGTTCATGTCTGTATTGTACCTGTATTAGAGTGTCTTAAATAGTACTTTTGTAGAGGTTCATGTCTGTTGTATTGTACCTGTATTAGAGTGTCTTAAATAGTACTTTTGTAGAGGTTCATGTCTGTTATATTGTACCTGTATTAGAGTGTCTTAAATAGTACTTTTGTAGAGGTTCATGTCTGTTGTATTGTACCTGTATTAGAGTGTCTTAAATAGTACTTTTGTAGAGGTTCATGTCTGTTATATTGTACCTGTATTAGAGTGTCTTAAATAGTACTTTTGTAGAGGTTCATGTGTGTTGTATTGTACCTGTATTAGAGTGTCTTAAATAGTACTTTTGTAGAGGTTCATGTCTGTTGTACTGTACCTGTATTAGAGTGTCTTAAATAGTACTTTTGTAGAGGTTCATGTCTGTTACATTGTACCTGTATTAGAGTGTCTTAAATAGTACTTTTGTAGAGGTTCATGTCTGTTGTACCTGTATTAGAGTGTCTTAAATAGTACTTTTGTAGAGGTTCATGTCTGTTACATTGTACCTGTATTAGAGTGTCTTAAATAGTACTTTTGTAGAGGTTCATGTCTGTTACATTGTACCTGTATTAGAGTGTCTTAAATAGTACTTTTGTAGAGGTTCATGTCTATTGTACCTGTATTAGAGTGTCTTAAATAGTACTTTTGTAGAGGTTCATGTCTGTTGTATTGTACCTGTATTAGAGTGTCTTAAATAGTACTTTTGTAGAGGTTCATGTCTGTTGTATTGTACCTGTATTAGAGTGTCTTAAATAGTACTTTTGTAGAGGTTCATGTCTATTGCATTGTACATGTCTTAAATAGTACTTTTGTAGAGGTTCATGACTGTTGTATTGTACCTGTATTAGAGTGTCTTAAATAGTACTTTTGTAGAGGTTCATGTCTGTTGTACTGTACCTGTATTAGAGTGTCTTAAATAGTACTTTTGTAGAGGTTCATGTCTGTTGTATTGTACCTGTATTAGAGTGTCTTAAATAGTACTTTTGTAGAGGTTCATGTCTATTGTACCTGTATTAGAGTGTCTTAAATAGTACTTTTGTAGAGGTTCATGTCTGTTACATTGTACCTGTATTAGAGTGTCTTAAATAGTACTTTTGTAGAGGTTCATGTCTGTTGTATTGTACCTGTATTAGAGGGTCTTAAATAGTACTTTTGTAGAGGTTCATGTCTGTTACATTGTACCTGTATTAGAGTGTCTTAAATAGTACTTTTGTAGAGGTTCATGTCTGTTGTATTGTACCTGTATTAGAGTGTCTTAAATAGTACTTTTGTAGAGGTTCATGTCTGTTGTATTGTACCTGTATTAGAGTGTCTTAAATAGTACTTTTGTAGAGGTTCATGTCTATTGTACCTGTATTAGAGTGTCTTAAATAATACTTTTGTAGAGGTTCATGTCTGTTGTACCTGTATTAGGGTGTCTTAAATAGTACTTTTGTAGAGGTTCATGTCTGTTGCATTGTACCTGTATTAGAGTGTCTTAAATAGTACTTTTGTAGAGGTTCATGTCTGTTACATTGTACCTGTATTAGAGTGTCTTAAATAGTACTTTTGTAGAGGTTCATGTCTATTGTACCTGTATTAGAGTGTCTTAAATAGTACTTTTGTAGAGGTTCATGTCTGTTGTACTGTACCTGTATTAGAGTGTCTTAAATAGTACTTTTGTAGAGATTCATGTCTGTTACATTGTACCTGTATTAGAGTGTCTTAAATAGTACTTTTGTGGAGGTTCATGTCTCTTGTATTGTACCTGTATTAGAGTGTCTTAAATAGTACTTTTGTAGAGGTTCATGTCTGTTGTATTGTACCTGTATTAGAGTGTCTTAAATAGTACTTTTGTAGAGGTTCATGTCTGTTGTATTGTACCTGTATTAGAGGGTCTTAAATAGTACTTTTGTAGAGGTTCATGTCTGTTGTATTGTACCTGTATTAGAGTGTCTTAAATAGTACTTTTGTAGAGGTTCATGTCTGTTGTATTGTACCTGTATTAGAGTGTCTTAAATAGTACTTTTGTAGAGGTTCATGTCTGTTGCATTGTACCTGTATTAGAGTGTCTTAAATAGTACTTTTGTAGAGGTTCATGTCTGTTGTATTGTACCTGTATTAGAGTGTCTTAAATAGTACTTTTGTAGAGGTTCATGTCTATTGCATTGTACATGTCTTAAATAGTACTTTTGTAGAGGTTCATGACTGTTGTATTGTACCTGTATTAGAGTGTCTTAAATAGTACTTTTGTAGAGGTTCATGTCTGTTGTACTGTACCTGTATTAGAGTGTCTTAAATAGTACTTTTGTAGAGGTTCATGTCTGTTGTATTGTACCTGTATTAGAGTGTCTTAAATAGTACTTTTGTAGAGGTTCATGTCTATTGTACCTGTATTAGAGTGTCTTAAATAATACTTTTGTAGAGGTTCATGTCTGTTGTACCTGTATTAGGGTGTCTTAAATAGTACTTTTGTAGAGGTTCATGTCTGTTGCATTGTACCTGTATTAGAGTGTCTTAAATAGTACTTTTGTAGAGGTTCATGTCTGTTACATTGTACCTGTATTAGAGTGTCTTAAATAGTACTTTTGTAGAGGTTCATGTCTATTGTACCTGTATTAGAGTGTCTTAAATAGTACTTTTGTAGAGGTTCATGTCTGTTGTACTGTACCTGTATTAGAGTGTCTTAAATAGTACTTTTGTAGAGATTCATGTCTGTTACATTGTACCTGTATTAGAGTGTCTTAAATAGTACTTTTGTGGAGGTTCATGTCTCTTGTATTGTACCTGTATTAGAGTGTCTTAAATAGTACTTTTGTAGAGGTTCATGTCTCTTGTATTGTACCTGTATTAGAGTGTCTTAAATAGTACTTTTGTAGAGGTTCATGTCTATTGTACCTGTATTAGAGTGTCTTAAATAGTACTTTTGTAGAGGTTCATGTCTCTTGTATTGTACCTGTATTAGAGTGTCTTAAATAGTACTTTTGTAGAGGTTCATGTCTGTTGTATTGTACCTGTATTAGAGTGTCTTAAATAGTACTTGTAGCAGGAGACTATCTCAGTAGTTGTCCTTGCCCAAAAAAACTGCAGTGGACACCCCCCCCCCCTCCTTCCTCCCCCCCCCCCCCCCATTTACTAATCTATCCTATACCAAATAGGAATGGAATAGGATAAAAGATTTTTAAATTGAAAATGGGTCTTACATTTAAAAAAAAATTCTGAATAATTTGTAAACAAAATTAAATTCAATCAACAATCAATTAAGAGACAAAGGTTAATAAACATACCACTCATTAGACTGGCTGTCGTAACACTCTACATTGTAAATAGTTGTTTCACCATTGAATCCACCAATGACAAAAAGCATGTCATCAATCACCTGTTTCATTTATAATACATTCTTTTAGAAGATCACACAGCAAATTTAGGTTGGGAGATGGTATTAATTAAGATATTTTAACCAAGTCTATGAGATTCTACATTCCACTAAATGAGGAAACTGCTTTAGAGAAAGTAATTACAATGTTCATAGATTTTTTGCTTTTATATGTTTAAAAATTTGGAGTACTTTTATCCGCATAGTAAGGCTAAGATTAACTTAAAAAGTATCCTTAAATGAGCTAAAGTTAACAACTGATTGTTAAACAACTAAATGTTAACATTTAAATGTTAACAATACAATGTTAGCAATTCAATAACAATTCAATGTTAACAATTCAATGTTAACAAATTAATGTTAACAAGTCAGTGTTAACTACTGAATGTTAACAATTAAATGTTAACAATACAATGTTAACAATTCAATTTAAAACATTCCATGTTGAAAATCCAATGTTAACAATTCAATGTTAACAACTCAGTGTTAACAACTGAATGTTAACAATTAAATGTCAACAATTCAATGCATTCAATGTTAACAACTGAATGTTAACAGCTCAGTGTATACAACTGAATGTTAATGATTCAATATTAACAACTGAATGTTAACAATTAAATGTTAACAATTCAATGCATTCAATGTCAACAACTGAATGTTAACAGCTCAGTGTATACAACTTAATGTTAACAATTAATTGTTAACAACTGAATGTTAACAGCTGACCTCTATGCCAAAGTTACTTCTGGTGTTGTACATGTCAGGTATGGGTGACCAGGACCTGTCAGATGGGGAATATCTTTCAGCTGTGTTGGTGCGTGTCACCCCATCAAAGCCACCTGCGTTAGAATGGGAGCAAAGGTCCGAGTTGACTTGATTAAAACACATTGAGGCAAATTACAATGGGAGCAAAGGTCGGAGTTGACTTGATTAAAACACATTGAGGCAAATTAAAATGGGAGCAAAGGTCGGAGTTGACTTGATTAAAACACATTGAGGCAAATTACAATGGGAGCAAAGGTCGGAGTTGACTTGATTAAAACACATTGAGACAAATTAAAATGGGAGCAAAGGTCGGAGTTGACTTGATTAAAACACATTGAGACAAATTAGAATGGGAACAAAGGTCAAAGTTGACTTGATCAAAACACATTGAGACAAATTAGAATGGGAACAAAGGTCAAAGTTGACTTGATTAAAACACATTGAGACAAATTAGAATGGGAACAAAGGTCAAAGTTGACTTGATCAAAACACATTGAGACAAATTAGAATGGGAACAAAGGTCAAAGTTGACTTGATCAAAACACATTGAGACAAATTAGAATGGGAACAAAGGTCAAAGTTGACTTGATCAAAGCACATTGAGACAAATTAGAATGGGAACAAAGGTCAAAGTTGACTTGATCAAAGCACATTGAGACAAATTAGAATGGGAACAAAGGTCAAAGTTGACTTGATCGAAGTACATTGAGACTTATTATATTTTCAAACACTATCATGATAAAAACCCCTACCCATATTAAACTTTGCCATTACTTGATAAAAATAAATTAACATAACCATACAGTTTTAAAAATAGACAATTACATTGTGAAAGAAAGTATTTATTAGCCTGCAAGCATTGTCACACTACAACAGACTTACAGAAAAATTAAATCTTACAGTTCATTACCCACCTACATAAATTACCACCAATAATTCACTGACCGTAACCCATCTATGGTATGCGTTACCACCAGTAAATGGTAACAGACCATAACCAACCAATAACAATTTACCACCAGTAATTATTGTTAGTAGACCATAACCCACCAACAAATGTTAAAAGACCATAACCCACCACAAACAATTTACCACCAACAAATGCTAACAGACTATAACCCACCACCAACAATTTACCACCAATAAATGCCAACAGACCATAACCCACCACCAACAATTTACCACCATAAAATGCCAACAGACCATAAACCACTAACATAAATTTATTACTTGTAAATGTTAACAGACCATAACCCAGCAACAAATGTTAACAGACCATAACCCACAAACAAATGTTAACAGACCATAACCCACAAACAAATGTTAACAGACCATAACCCACAAACAAATGTTAACAGATCATAACCCACTCAACAAATGTCAACAGACCATAACCCACCCAACAAATGTTAACAGACCATAACCCACAAACAAATGTTAACAGACCATAACCCACAAACAAATGTTAACAGACCATAACCCACTCAACAAATGTTAACAGACCATAACCCACCAACAAATGTTAACAGACCATAACCCACTCAACAAATGTTAACAAACCACCACCAACAATTTACCACCAGTAAATGCCAACACCCACCTACAGCATAAATTGCACCATTGTAAGTGATGACCCCCACCCCACTTCTGCGACTGGACATGTGTGGGATCAACGTCCACTGGTCAGCTTTGGGGTTATACACTTCAGCTGAGCATAAACACTCTGAGCCATTGAATCCACCACAGATGTAGATTTCTCCTGCAAGACACAATTGAAAATTGATGAGGCTATTGCCCTTTATTTAACTTTTATATTTATGAAATAAAAGCTGTCTATATATCTTATTTTCTATATATTTAAAAATATCTATTTAAACAAATTATTCTATAAAACAGATATTTGTAGTAAAAGATGAAAAAAAGTTCATTAATTAATAAAGGTAACACTTTTATCAAGGGAGTTAACACTCCCACGTTTGGTGACTCCTCTTCACTCTCCCTAATTCTATCTTTTAAATTAAAGAGTTAAAAAAAAAATTCCCTTTCATTGTATATTAAAATAACAGGTACTGACAGGGAGAATTTATAAAATGTATGATTAAACATGGGTGCTGCAAATAATATGTGAGGTATGCAGATTTGGGACAGAGATAGGTTTATTTTGTGTCTTAGGGGCGGGAGAATAAGTGCCATTGAAAATTAATTTCACTTCTTACATCTGTATGTATTAGACAATTTAATTAAGAAAATGCTCTATTTTGATAATACAACTCATTATCCACTACAACTAACTCTATTGTTTGTATATAACACTGCCCCTCCCTCTGTTTAAAATGTATATGTTTCCATATATGTCTATGTATTAGCTGAAAACAAAATGTGAAGCACCCCCTACCATGATAGGTTGTAGCGCTGGCGTCACTTCTCCTTTCTCTCATGTTGGAGACCAGAGTCCACTGGTTGGTGCTAGGGTTGAACCTCTCCGCTGAACGAAGTCGAGGGGAGGAGATGACTCCGCTGGGCGTGCGGGGTGGTCCCTCGAACCCACCCATTGCATAGATCATACCATCCAGTAGCGCCACACTCACATAGGATCTATGGATGGGAATTAAATAGTTTTTCTATCAGTCTACCTCGTAACAGGACAAAAGATCTCTGACGGAATATTCCAGACAAAATATCTCAGGGACAAATGATTTCAGGACAATGAATGTAAGACAAAATATCCAATGGACAAAATATCTAAGGACAAATGAAAAACAAAATATTCCAAGCAAAATGTCTCAAGGACAAGATATCTCAGGACAAGTGATTTCCTCAGACAATTTCCTCAAAAATTTCCTCAGACAAAATTTCTCAGTCCTCAGGAAATTGTCCTGAGATCAATTGCCATGGAACCACCCAACAATACCCGGCAGAGGTGTGAAGTGAACTAAAATAACAAGCATTAAGGTGAACACTCAGTAATTTTTAGTTTATAGTGAATCACTTGGTGAGTGGGTGACAGAGATATTTGCTAGCTTGAGAAAAACATTAACAAGTTGTGTTGGTATGACTAAGTATTCATTACAGAAATAGTAAGTTTTTAATTTTTAGTTATCCTATTGTACATTAAACTAGAAATGTTTGATTAAACATATAAGCTTGGTATGAATAAGTACATAACTGAGAAATTATTATTTTTTTGGGTTATCCTGTACTTCATTAAGCTACATGTTTGATTAGACATATTAGCTTAGACATATTAGCCTAGCTAATGGTTAGCTTGATGAAACTTGTGTAAGAAAAGTATAGTCAGGGGCAGTGTGTGTAAACTAGTGGATTCTTTCAAAGTAATATCTGATGCCACAAGTCAAGTTGGGTACTCAGGCTAGATCTAAAGAATGTACCGGGGTTAGAATGGTACTTTTGTGTGTTAGGGTCTAGTCAGACACACATTTCCTTTACATGCCAAGACCACAGGAACAGATGAACTCTACTTCATATGCCCCATGACTTTGGACCAAATTTCACTTATGGATTAAAATGTTCATACCTATACAGAAGTAAATTAATAGTTTTGTGTACTATACTGTACTTTATAAGCAGAAGATCATCACCATATTAAAATGTTCATACCTAGACAGAAGTAAATTAATAGTTTTGTGTACTATACTGTACTTTATAAGTAGAAGATCATCACCATATTAAAATGTGCATACCTATACAGAAGTAAATTAATAGTTTTGTGTACTATACTGTACTTTATAAGTAGAAGATCATCACCATATTAAAATGTTCATACCTAGACAGAAGTAAAATTAATAGTTTTGTGTACTATACTGTACTTTATAAGCAGAAGATCATCACCATATTAAAATGTGCATACCTAGACAGAAGTAAATAAATAGTTTTGTGTACTATACTGTACTTTATAAGTAGAAGATCATCACCATATTAAAATGTTCATACCTAGACAGAAGTAAAATTAATAGTTTTGTGTACTATACTGTACTTTATAAGCAGAAGATCATCACCATATTAAAATGTACAAGTGTCTCCTGACCTTTTATTGTTCATGGGTGCTATCTCAGACCAAACTTTGGTCCTGGTGTCAAACACCCGGCAGCTGTTGAAACATTCTGTGGCATCAAAGCCACCAATGACGTAGATCAGGCAGCCAATTGCTACCACTCCATGATACGCTCTGGGATCTAATGCAGTGGGAACAATAATAAACATTAGATCACATGATATAGTGGGAACAATAATAAACATGAAATAAGATGCTATAGTACGTAAACTAAAAAAAAGACATCATCATTGTGCTAATTTTCAAATGTTTGAGTTGGCTGAATGCAATTTAATGCTGTGAGTGAACTGTGTTAACACCACTTCAAATGTTGAAGATAAAACAAAATTCCTGTGTTATTTGCTCTATTGAAATAAACAGTGGGCCTTCTGTGCACTCTTAGGCAGTTGTGGTACAGATCTAACCCCTAAAGAACAGTCTAAATCAAAATCCAAATCTCACATACACAATTATTAGAACAACCCTGAGTCCACGCAGCTCAGATGGGTACCTGACTCAATAAGGGAAATTAAAGTTGGCTGGACATAGTGCTGATCACACAATACCTTCTTATACCAAAGTCACCTTCCCAATTGACCAACAGGTAAAATGGTACTTTACTTTTGCATACACCTTATTAAAATATGCACATCTTAGGCATGGTGACTCAAGGAAAGAGATTCTTATCAGAAACTTAAGAAATGTGACATGCCGTTCATGTTTTTTGGATGGCTATTAGTATGTACTAAGTCTAAATAATTAGTCAAATGTATGCGTTATATTGTGCACAAGTTTCAAATATTGGCTAGCAACAGATGGGTAGCCGACATACTTACTGGTGTCCTCTGATTTACATACAACCCATCTGTCAGCTCGTGTGTCATATGTCTCCACCATTTTGATTGGTCGCCCACCACTCCATCCACCAATAACAAACAATATCTCATGTGGAACTCTAGGGCGAGCAAAGGGTAATGACATGTCAAAGTCTGGTTCTTCGGATTTGTCCAGTTCTATACAAGAGATCAAAAGATAGTTTCACAAAACAAATGTTTCAAAAGATCGATTTGCATTAAAGAAGATGAACAAATTTCTACAAATTAAATATTAAAAAATAATTTCACAAAACCATTAATAAAAATAGTGTCACATAATGAGCAATAAAAAATTGTCTCAAAATAACTTGTATTACTTTTAGTGTTATTGTTAAAATAAATCTCCTTGTAAAAAAAAAAACCGCTGATTGACTCACAAATTAAATTCAAGAACTTTTATTAAGATAAAAATTTTAGCTTAAATTATCTAATCTAATCTAATCTAATCTAATCTAATCTAATCTAATCTAATCTAATCTAATCTAATCTAATCTAATCTAATCTAATCTAATCTAATCTAATCTAATCTAATCTAATCTAATCTAATCTAATCTAATCTAATCTAATCTAATCTAATCTAATCTAATCTAATCTAATCTAATCTAATCTAATCTAATCTAATCTAATCTAATCTAATCTAATCTAATCTAATCTCTGGAATGTTACCTGCCAAAAAAGCCTCTGTGTCAGCTATGAGGGGCTGGACATCTACATTGTTTTTCACAAGCCTGTGAGCCTTAACTTTCCCCTCAAAGACTGCTGAAGGGAGGAGCCCCAACCTCACTGTGGCTAACAAACGTCGCATGTGGACCTTACTGTTGGGGGAAGAGTAACATAGACATGTGGACCTTACTGTAGGGGGAAGAGAGACAGTAACATAGACATGTGGACCTTACTGTAGAGGGAAGAGAGACAGTAACATAGACATGTGGACCTTACTGTAGGGGGAAGAGAGACAGTAACATAGACATGTGGACCTTACTGTAGGGGGAAGAGAGACAGTAACACAGACACTACAAAACAAGTTAAAACATATTAGTAGAACATCCCTGAGTCCACCCAGCTCTGATGGGTACCTAACTCATGGTATGGAAATTAAAGACAGCTGGGCAAAGTGCTGACCGCACCTTCCATTCATATGCAGATATCTTGCAACATATGAACTCTACTTCATCTGCCCAATGGAATCTTAGGTCTAAAGAGGATCAGTAAAAATACATTTTTGATAAAACAATTCAAACATTTTAGTAAAATTTTTGAAAATCAAAATTAGTAAAATCCTATGACATGTGAAGGTGTTGTTTGTTAAGTGCATATCTAATGTGATACACTTTCAAAGTCATGCAACTACAGATACTGCCTGGACCACTAACAAACCAACATCCACATTATCACTAATCTTTAATTTTCATTTCTGCAGGACTTTAATCCTTTTGCTCACTGCAACACAATTTACAGCAAAAAATCAACTTTATATTTTATAGTTTGCAATACTGACCGGAGCTGCGGGTTGTAGTCGACCCATCGACAGACAGCGTCAAATACATATTCTTCACAACTAACATTCAGCTGGTGAGAGGAGAGTAGACTGCATACCTGTCAGAGAGATATCAAATACATGACCTGCTCATAAAATCTATTACACATTTTAGCAACAAACATTTTATCAAAGAAATAATAGTTTGTCTTATTTTCTGTTTTCAGTGTCTTTGAAAGCTCATTATTTTTTTAATTTGTTTAGTAATGCTAACAATATCATCATCTCTTCCAGTTCGTGCCCAAGACACATGGGGCAGATGAGGTAGAGTTCATCTGTTTTAGTGAAACTTGGCATTTGAAGAGACAGTGTGGTCAGCACTATGTCCGTTCGCCTTTGTATTACCATAACATGAGTTAGGTACCCATTATGTTAATAATATACTGGCTTTGATTAACTGATAAACACCTACCATATCAAGACTGAGCTGTAAATATTCATTACTTAACGTATACACACGACCAAAGTTTTTTAATGTAAATCTGAGTGCTGCTTTTTCCAGTCCTCTGCAATTGTGAGCCTAAAAATAGACCATAACTTTGAGTCAAATCAAACCTTATTTTCCTTTTATCAGGCTTCTTAAATGAATTAAAAAGATGGACCTGCTAAGGATTTCTAAGGAGTTATGCAGTTATCCGGACTATTTTTCTATAGATAAAGGTTTCAAAATAAACAGGAAAAATTGAATCAATTGGAAAGAATGGCACAGGATTGTGTATTGTGAAGAAAGGGACAGTATTATAACTATTATGGGGGTCATCATGAGGGATTAGGGATAGGAAAGTATTTCCTTCATTAGCTCATGCCACAGTTAATGATGGGAAGATTACAATTTTATTTCATTTCTTTCTACAAACAGAAGTTAGGTTAACCCTTAATGTTTACGCTGACTTGATAGAACCCATATCTAAAGAATACCTGAGCAAATTGTAAAATCCCACTTTACGTTTACGCTGACTTGATAGAAACCATATTTAAAGAATACCTGAGCAAATCGTAAAATCCCAAGACAGTTCTCATGGGTGAGGCTCTTGTGCAGGTATTCACAGCACAGCTTCAGCAGACCTGTAACATGGTATTGGTCCGCAACAGGAAGTAATATTTCGATGTTATCTGGTGTTAGTTTGGCTGTTCTGGTGTAAGCAAAGTCTATGAGAAGACGAATGACTTCAGCAGGGAGTCCAGGTATGGTCACTTCTCTTTTCTTGGTGCTGGGAAAAAGAAAAAGGGGACATCATGCTTTTTTTTACAATTTTTACCTCCCCCTCCAGTCCCTCACACATCATCCCAAAAAGCCAGACCCCACTCCCCCCTAAAATGACATCACACCTCAGCCTACAACCCCCCTCAAAATTGCAGTTGAAGTTTTCTTAAAACATCTATATTTTTCCAAAATCTTGTATGAACTCTATAATGTCACACCATCTGAACCATCACCCCCACCCCTTCATCACACACCATCACAAAATTATGGACACTCCCCCTCCCCCTACGAGTGTGACGTCATTTCTGTTTAACTGTTGGAAGAAGCAACACACCTTGTTAAGATTACTTACAATACCTACTTATTCATTAAAGAAAAATGTTGAGTTAATGAGTCAGTTGCTTGGTGACCCTAATCTATTTTGCAAAGTACTCTTTTGAACATAATGGCTTATGAACAGAATGGTTCATGGGATAGGTGTTTCTTTGACCTCAGCATATCATGGAACAGCGTGGTGAGTTGAGTACTATGCTCATGACCTTTACTTTCCCTAACTGGAACCCACAAGAGCTGGGTGGACTCAGGGATGTCGTGTGGACTCAAGACCAAGATCCGAACTCAAGACTTTCAGGTTAGCAATCAAATGCTATACCATTTGACCACAGCAGTATATTTTGTATAAATACGTATTAAATAGATTTTTAAGTTTCTAATTTTGATATAGGCTTTGTTATGTGAAATGCACAGCCAAATTACAAAATAAATTAACTTCCCTAATTAAAACTAGTTTTACAATCATGATAAGAATTACAATTTTGAATAGGCAATCTCTAATCTAAAGTCTAAAAGCATCTTAACAATGCCTTAAAGTGGTAACCTATCCTGATTCTCATATCCCATTCTCTCGTGCACTTGGCAACAATAGTTTTGCCTGAATGCTTGACTTGTGAATAAAGACTTAAAGTAATTCTCTCATGCACTAGGCAACAATAGTTTTACCTGAATGCTTGACTTGTGAATAAAGACTTAAAGTAAGGGCTGCATGATGACATTATATTGCGATGAATTGGGTAAGCCTGGTTTTTCACCTACAAATTTTGTAAATAGGACATTCATCATACAATGCTAAGCACTCAAATATAAATATATGTAAAACATACATTTTTTAGAAAAATTGTAGGCCTAACATTTATTACAGCATTACAAAACTTGCCAGTCTTTTTCTTCTTCTTGATTCTTAATTTTTAGTGTTGGAAGGTATCCCCTCCAATACAATTTAGTACACGTGTCAACTGGTTATGTGCCATTGAGGCCATTGACTCCGATTTCAGCCTGCTTTTGGATTTGCTTCCATAGCCTTAGTCGTACCAAGAACAAACTACAAGGCAGGAGATGATAGATTTTGGAGTTGTCTCTCCTAGTAGAGTGGCTGTCCCCAGCTAATGAGCCTTATCTGTCCGAGGGTTCTAAATCGAGACTTTTTGGTTTAGCAACCATGAGCTTTACCGACTTGACCATGCCAACCCCTTAACTTGCCACTATTTGTTTAATTGTTCTGTAAAATTGTAAACCTAACCTTTATGACAGCATCACAAAACTTGCCAGTTTACATTTAAATTACATTTAAAAAAATTGTAAGCTTAAACTTTACTAAAAAAAGCATAACAAAACTTGCCAGTTTGTATTTAAAATATATAAATTTTTGTAAAATTGTAAGCCTAACCTTTATGACAGCATCACAAAACTTGCCAGTTTGTATTTAAACTTTAAAAAAATTGTAAGCCTAACCTTTATGACAGCATCACAAAACTTGCTAGTTTGTATTTAAACTTTAAAAAAATTGTAAGCCTAACCTTTATGACAGCATCACAAAACTTGCCAGCTTGCCGCAGCTCTGCCAGAATACCAAACAAGGCGTCTCCATTTCTATACCGACCGTCTCCACCTGACTCTAAATCAAACTCTTCAATGTCCATTTCCATCTTAGCTTTGATATTTAGTACAGTGATTTATTTAGCAATTGTTTTTTTTTGGGTCTCAGTTATCTTTGTTTTTGTTTCTTTTGGCGTTGATGTTCTAAGGCAAATCTAAAGATAAACATAATATGGGATAGTTCATATTTATAAAAAAAAACAGTACTTGAATAAGTAAAAGATAAATCTAAATAATCAAACTGCTCAGCTGTAGATTCTATCTTTTTAGCTTGCTAAGACCCAGAGGCTTTACAATAATGCGTATGGAGTAAGGCTAGACACCACATTACAAAAAACCGTATGTGTAGGCTACTTTTACTATGTAGACCTACAGTATGTGCATGGCATATGCCCCATAGTGAAGATACAGTACACATGAGTAGGCCTACACTAGTACACAGGCCATGGGTAAACTTGTGTAATCCAGTAATCAGGTAATCATATCAACATCTTTAAATACAGCACCACTGTCTGTAGTGTTAGTAATATTAGCCCTGTTCATTTTGAACAGCAGAAGTAAATGTAATTAGAAATAGATTCCCCTTATATTTTTAATTAGTAAATAATGGTAATTAGATATAGTCCTAGAGAACTTTAAATTAAATTATTTAAATTACAAACTGGCTTCTTTTCTTACACTATTCACTAAGTATTTTGCTCTAGATTCTAGTTGAAAATAAAATGTGAGTTGAGCAATTTTTAAATTTTGCTTCATGTAGACAAGACCCTAGATCTAGACTTATAGAGAGTCTAGACTAGACAAGGTAACAAAGCTAGATACCAGTGAGATCATATACTGAATTGTTTAAAATTCAATGACTAAATGTCATGATGATGCATCAGATTTACTAAAATTACTTAATAGATCATAATGCATATGGATCTATTTTAGTAATAGTAAACTATTACTACTATTAGATCTTTTAATATTTTAAATAGATCAAGATTCTAATGAATACATTTCTATAATAATTAATAAATCTTTTGTCTGCATTTATCTTTTCTTTAGGCGTCTTCACTCTTTTTTTTTAGGCCTAGACTTAAAATCACGAATGACTTTTGAATTCAGGTTATTGCCAGATTTTTTAAAAGTCTAAAGTTTTATAAATATAGTGTTATTTATCTGTTAGTTGCGTGTCTTCTAGTAATTTAAAATTTTAAACCCATCATTATTAGCATCCGGTAGATCCCATTATTTCAGAAAAAAGTGGTTTATATTAGTTCAAGTAAACAAGCCAATTTCATGAAAAATACACAAATACAAACGCATCTGACTTGGATCTTTTTTTTTTTTTATTTGAGAAAAAATATTTTATTATATTACATATGGCTATTCTTTACTGACGTTTTTAAATGATGGATAAAAAAAATGCCCTTGCACATTTTCGTGCACAGTTTTTGGGTGCGCATTTTTTCGATGCGTATTTTTCTGGTAACCGTCTCAGTCTAACCCTAACCATCAATGCTTTAGGCCAGAGGCGTAGCGAAGGGGGGGGGGTGGTGCGGACCGCACCGGGTGACACCATTTAGGGGGGTGACACCAAGGCAAAAAATAGTAAAATATATGGAGAAAAATTTGAAGAGGGGAGATGCAAATCAAAAGTTCGAGGGGGGGTGCAAATCGTAAATTTGTCCCCGGGAAGAGTCGCTACGCCTCTGAGGGGGTGACACCATTAAGTGTCGCACCGGGTGACACCCGACCTCGCTACGCCACTGCTTTAGGCTACTGGTTGTAGTCCGACTTGAACATTGTGCATCAATGATCACACATTCCCCCCTACCACCCTCTTCAACCCACTTTTTAAAAATCTCCCCTTCATCGTCACAATGTCATATTACAAAGAGCAGGCAGAAACCCTAAAATTACACCACGCTCTAGACAACTCACTTCCACATAGAAATTTTTGTTTTTGAATCAGATTTATCTCCCCTAAAGCTGGTGTGTCTACAAAACTTGTTATTTCAATATTATGCCACAATTTATTTTTTTTTTAAATTCGACATAACAGAAAATAATCCGTTTAAAATGTTGCTTTTTTTCAAATTCAAGTTATGAAATCACATTTTCTGTAACCCCTCCCACCCCTCCTCTCGTAGCACAAATGAAAACGGATAATGTCAAAACACGCGGCTAAACAACCCAGAGGCGTAGCGACCCTTACCGGCGCCCGGGGACATACTTTCAATTTGCGCCCCCCTTGGGAGCAAATTTTCGATTTGCACCCCCCCCCCCTCGAACTTTTCATTTGCACCCCCCCCCCCTCAAACTTTCGATTTGCACCCCCCTCGAACTTTTCATTTGCACCCCCCCCCCCTCAAACTTTCAATTTGGCGCCCCCCCTAAGGTCGGCGCCCGGGGACATATGTCCCCCCCCCCGCCCCCCCCCTCGCTACGCCTCTGAAACAACCCTCTATTACAGTCAGAGTTGTTGGTTTTTGTTATTGAATGATACTATAGCTAATCGAAGAATTTGGTAAGGCGAATCGACAAGGTTCAATGTGATTATTCATGATTTTGCTTAAGGACCATTTTTATCAAACGAAACGAACGACCACGGTTAAGGTCACTTAAACAATTCGTTTAGACCAGATAGAGTATTATTTTAGCAGGTTCATTTTTTAACAAAAGCTGTTTCGTTTACATTAACGCAGAATAAATGTAGGTTTTTTTTTTAAAATTGCCAACATAACCTACACATGTTGATGTTACATTTAGTTATTTTATCGTTGGGGGAAGGGAGGGGGAGACGAACCCATCCCAGAGTTTCTTCCAGGCATCTTTCCCCCCCCCCCCCCCCCCCCGAACGAAATGAAATTTATATAATTTATATAGAAAATATATACTTTTAACAGTGTCCGCCCCCCCCCCTCCCCGAAGAAAGTTTACCGAAGAAAATTTTAAGTGCCCCCCCCCCCCCCCCGGAGAAAAAAGTCTGGAAGAAACACTGACCCTTACTTACCTCGAACTAGTTTATACAGGCATCTACAAAAAATGAAACGAACCCGGACCCCCCCCCCTCCCCATTCCTCTGAAGTTAATGAAACCCTGTCAAAAGGCTTAGAGCTAGATCTGAAACTTATATTAAGGGTAGACACAATTCGCGATTGAATTTTGTCAGTCGGACGCAAAAAATTAACATGATTCGCTGAATGCGGATATGAAACTGGTAAGGTTCGGTACCTCCAACAAGCTTAGGAACCGCTGATCTGGAGTATTCTAGATCAGCAGCCTCTAAAGACGGAAGCAGTGGGTGCGATCCGCACCAGGTGACACCACTTGAGGTGAGGGGTGATACCAAATCGAAAAATCATGAAAATATAGGCATACCTCTCAAACAACGTTTTGTACAGCTACAAATATCGTAGAGCAAAGGAGTTACACCAAACCGAAAAGGACAAATTGTTGGCAGAAAAATGATGTTGTTGTCCCCCCTCCCACCCCCCGAAAATATCAAGTGCCCCCCCCCCCCCCCCCCCCCCCCCGCGGAGAAAAAAGTCTGGACTGATTGTCAGAGGCGTAGCGACTGGGAGGGGTACATCTGTCCCCGGGCACCGACCCTAGGGGCGCCAAAATAAGCTTATTTTATCTGCTATTTTGAATATTAAATATATATAAAAAATGGGGGGGGGGGGGGAGCGCCAAATTGAAAGTTTGTCCGCGGGCTCTGGGAGGGGTCGCTACGCCTCTGCTGATTGTTGGAGCTGGAGTGACACACTTATTTAGCGCACCGGGTGGGTGACACCCGACTAATGTTTTTTTTTCAGACTTTTTTCTCAGAGGGGGGGGTGACACTGGTAAAAGTAGATCTATATATCATATATTTTCAATATAAACTCATTTCGTTCGGAGGGGGGGGGGGGGAGACGTACCTCGGGAGGGAGGGGGGGGAGTGGCAGTGCACCCGACCTAGAGAAGGCACTGTTCTAGATGTAGATAGACTGTATAATCTAGATCTAGATCTAGGCCTAGTCTAGATAGACAAGATTAGTGATTCACTGATTAGATAGGTCTTCTAGCTACTAGATCTAGAATCTAGATTCTAGATGTCTATTAGCTAGTCTAGAGATCTACAACCCACTTGTAGATCTAGTTTCTTATTTTTTTGTCGGACTTAAATTGTAAATAGTCAAGAAATAGAATATTTTTACTTAATTTCATTTACAATTCTAATATGAGTTACTCTTACTTTTCATTGATCAAATAGTTTTAACGATGTTTTTAGCCCAGCGGCCGCTTCGTTGCCTTGTGTTATTTTTACTGAGTGAGGATCTGACGTCACACGGCCATTAAACACACAGAACAAATATTTCCGCCATGAATATCAACAATGATGCATGACGTCATTACACTTTTTTTCTCATAAAAAACATGTCAAAGTCTTACTATAGGCTGGCGTTGAATGTATCATTCCCGGTTGATTTTTGATGCTGCGTTTGAATTGTGGTAGAATTGTGTTATCACCAGATTCGAAGTCACCTTGCTGATCGCACTAAACTAAAATCACAGAAATCCGTTCGTGCACAGAGTTTTTTTCAGCCCCCCCTCCCATCTCATCGAAATAAAATGTATTTAGAAAAAAATATACTTCTACCAATGTCCGCCTTTCTCCCCCCCCCCCCCCCCCTAAGAAAGTTGCAAGTGTCCCCCACGGAGAATAATGTTTGAAAGTTTTATAAGCCCATGTCTAGCAAGTCTGCATTTGGGGTCATCCATTTATGACGTCCACAATTTTTTTGGATTTTGGACCCCCCCCCGTCCACAAAAATCCACTTTTTTTTCCTTATACAAGTCCATATGCGTCCACAAAAGTCAGTTTTTTTCGGACCCCCCCCCCCCCCCCCCGCGTGTGGACGTCATAAATGGATGACCCCTTTGGGCTCAAACTTCTTGGCTTTGTCAGGCTAGAGCAGGGGTCGGCAACCTGCGGCTCGCGAGCCGCATGCGGCTCCTTTGATGTCAAGATGCGGCTCTTCAGCTCCATACACAAATATTAATAACCATTTTATTTTCAAAACTCTTACAAATATTGTTCTGCAACATTCGGTGATGAACGATATAATAATAAATATAAACAATAAACACTCGCTATTCAAATAGAATATTTAGTTACTCCCTATTTCAATGTACTTCCTATTAAAGTTTCCTTCCTAAATTGAAAAATTCAACGTCATAGTGGATATCACAAAGAAACTAAAGGAGCTAAATGTAAAACTGCAAGGAAAGGGAAACCCAGTTTATGCCTTGCTTGAAAAAGTTGATTGTTTCGGAAAAAAAAAACTTTTTTTTTTGTTGAAGACTCAGAGAGCGTTAAATTACTTAATTAAGATACATTTGAAAAAAAAATATCATGATGAAACCAATGCTACTTTTAACATGAACTACTTCAGCATTACAATAAAAAATAAATAAAGGATTGATTCCTAAGTGATTTGAGCAATTCAAAACAAATGAAAGTACACTTTGACGTTCATAATAAATCCTTTAAACACAAAAACAAATGAGATCAACATTGAGCCATTTGGAATTGATGCTGGTTCGCATCAAATGAACTGGCTGGATTTGAACACCAACCATTTTTGGAGTGGTAAGTTCAAGGAACTCAGGAGAAAGTTAGGAGATTTGTAGGTTCAGAAAAACATGCACGTTTTGCTGCACACTTGGACAACTCTAAAATAAATGCCTCGAGTTGAGGCACTATTATGTGACGCATGGAATTGTTTCCCAGGATGCTACAGTGAGGTGAAGAAGTTGGCATTAGGAGTGCTGACGATCTTCGGGTCACTATTTTCAAGCGAGAAAGCGTTTTCTTGCATGAATACAATAAAAAGTAAAGAAGCCAACCAGTGTTTCTTCCGGGCATTTCTTGGCAGGGGCTCTTCCCCCCCCCATCGAAGAGAGTATATCCCCCTCGTATGTACGCCCCCTCTCAAATTTTTGTCCGTACCCCGCGAAAATTTTAAGTGCCCCCCCCCCTCCCCTCCCTTCGGAGAAAAAAGTCTGGAAGAAACACTGAAGCCAACTAACAAATAAAAAAATCTAGAGGCGTGCTGAAACTGAAAACAAGTTATGAGCCAGGTTTAAACAAACTTTCAAAAGACTTGCAAGGTCAAACTATTGTAAATATTATTCATTAATTATTGTTAGATAATTTGATTAATGATTTTATTAACAGAGCGGGTTAAAATACCTTAATATGTTTTGTGCTCTTATGTGTATGTTTTTATATTAATAAATATTATTTCATTTTAAAAGCTATTTTTTTAAATTATATATAGGCATATATATATATATATATATATATATATATATATATATATATATATATATATATATATATATATATATATATATATACGATTTGGTAGCAGTAGAATCGTCTGTAGGCGCTGGTAACACTTGTGTTCGATGGATGTGTATATATATATATATATATATATATATATATATATATATATATATATATATATATATATATATATATATATACATATATATATATATATATATATAATCCTAATAAAATATCATAATATTGAAATAAAAATGTTTGTGGCTCTTTAAAAACTGGGAAATTTTGTAAATTGCAACTTTTGGCTCTTCCGCTTCAAAAGGGTTGCCGACCCCTGGCTAGAGCATCGTAAATCAAAGCGAATTGTGTAGTCTCGCCTCCACCAAATGTGCGCGAAACCCAAAGCTAAAAACAACATCAACAGTCTCTTTGTAAACGTTAGCTAACTTTTCTCTGATCTGTCTTGGGAAGAGTAGAACCACCAGAGTGGAGTACAACAACAACCGTTAGCTTTCTGCAAAGGAATCTGTTATGAACTTTAAAGCAGCGTTTCTTCCAGACTTTTTTCTCCGGGGGGGGGCACTTGAAATTTTTCGGGGGGGGGGGGGGGGGGGGGGGTACGACGACAGTGGTAAAAGTGTATGTTTTTATATATAAGCCCTCCCCCCCCCCCCTCCCCCGAAGATTTGCCTGGAAGAAACTCTGCTTTCTCGTTCTACTCGTAACTACCCGTCAGCCATGGTTTCGATGGCGTAAAAGTGTAAAGAACCCTACATGCTTAGTTCATTTTATTTATTTTTTATTTATTTATCTTTAGAACAAGCTTTTTTTTAATTTGTATAATACTTGAATGTTTATTTTTACAAAGGCAAGATAGAGTTAAAAATTCACTAACATATACAGAAGTGCTTGTATCAATATTAATTAAGATGTTAGAATGTATGTCACGTTGAGCTACATGGCGTCTTCTTTACAATGGCTATCTTCATGTCAGGTACACAAACCATACCGTGGAATGAACATTGATAAAAACAACGCTTTGTCATGACTGACTTTGAATATTCACGATATTAAATCTATTCCATGCAACCATGGTCTAGAACAGAAGCGTAGCGACCCTTCCCAGGCGCCGGGGGACAAACTTTCAATTTGGCGCCCCCCCCCCCCCATATATTTTTTATATTTATAATGCAAAACTGCAGCTAAAATGAGCTTTTAATTTTTTTCCAACCCATTTTGGCGCCAGCTGGGGTCGGCGCCCTGGGATATATGTACCCCTCACCCCATTCGCTACGCCTCTGGTCTAAAATGATCAAGATGGAAATCGCATCAATCAAACTGGTCTTTATTTTTCAATAAGTAGGCAGCTAAAATGTCAATAGGGCTTGGTGAACTCTCTTAGTCCAGGGCAGACATTCCAGAAAGTAATATAGGCAGAGGCGTCGCGAGGCGCGGGGTGCGCACCGCACCGGGTGACACCATTTAGGGGGTGACACCAAGACAAAAAATAGCAAAATATATAAGAATAAAAATGCTTTTTGCCAGTTCAGTTAGTGAGTTAAGTCTTTTAAGTTTTAAATTGACGATCTTAAAGGGGTGGAGGGAAGGGGGGGGGGGGGTTCATCATGACGTAAACTTGCTAAATACAGGAAAAACCATAAAACGTTGCTTTGTTCCACTTTGGTAAGAGTAATATGTTCACAAATTCACGCCATTTGGCGAAATGGGAGGGGGTGACACCAATTGCAAATATATACCTATATATAGCCTATAATTTATTTTTCATTTGGTGTGTGTATGTGTGGGGGGGGGGGGGGTTTGGTGCTGCACCGGGTGGGTGACACGCCACTGAATATAGGAACAACAGCTTGGTCCAGGTAAGCTCTCGTTAGAAGGATTGGAGATCTACTTTTGATCTTTTGCTGGGAATTTCAGCTGCTTCTTTCTAACCTGTAATGACTTTTCTGTATATCGTCTGGAACATCCTGCGATCCATTGTTTCAATTGAAGGCATGGCCGCACGAATGGGCCTTGATATTGATACTGTGTCATCCGCCATGTTTTTGTTTCCAGGGAAATTAGACTTGATATTTATTATTTATTTTTTTGTAATTATTATTATATTTTAATTAGCTAAAAAGAAGACATTTATTACATTGCATTTGGAAATACAAAATCTTCTACTACGGTAAATATAGGACGCAGTCGATCTAAGGGAGCGGGAGGGAAGGGATAATAGCATTTTTGTTTAACAATTTCCACAGGTTAGTTTTAAACATTTTAACATAGACGAAGGTGAAAATTTATGACATGGCTAAAAGTGTATATAGAGATTGGTTATATTTAAATTTATTTTTTTTTTTAAATTTAATTTTTTTAAAACACTTTTCAATAATTTATTCCATGATGCATTAAAAAAATTGAAACAAAAAAAAACAAATTACTCTTTTGGTGTGGGTGCTTCCTTTGACTTTTTCTTCAGTTGTTTTGGTTGAATTTTCGGGACAGCCATGATGTCCTCCAGCTTTAGGTCTATCCTGAACTCTTTTAATTTCTCCAACTTTTTTGTCTGATTCCTCGCTGACCTCCTGGGTGACTCAACTGACTCATCTAACTTTTCTGTTGTCTTGGCGCTGTTATGTTGACGTTTGGTTGTTGGTCTCCATTTAAATTTGAAAAATGTGTTTTCATGGACTTCAGGCATGGGCTTGTATTCACAGTTCAAAAGTTTGTTAAAAAACAAGTAGTTATGGCAGGCATCTGCTACAGTCTTGGCGACAGCTGAATCTTTAAATTTGACGAAGGCATATCCTTTTGTTTTACCGTTCTTCTTGGAGCGAGAAAGTTTGACACTGAGCACCTTGCCGAACTGGGAGAAGTAGCTAGAGAGCTGTCTTTCATAGAAGCCATGGGGCACGTGACAAATATACACAACCCCAGGCAGTCTGTCTTCTTCTGTAATCTTCAGTGACTGGGCCCAATAAGCTATTGTCTACTGTTTTATTAGCCCTCTGTTTTTTTTTTAAAGTAAAAAAAATGTATGCTTTATTCACATATGGACAGTTGTAACGCATTGAACTGATGGGTCTCATTTGTATTCCTATACGAAGTTAAATAGAGCTAATGTTTTTCTGATCTAAAAAACAATAACATAATCATTAGTAACATATTTTATTTCAAATATACTAAAACAAATACATACAAACTTATTTTGTTTTGCTTAATTTAGGAGCCACATTTATGGTTGCTCATACATTTTCAGTTTACTTGTCTGATACGTTTTTGGATACATGAAGATAGGTTTTGTACCTTTTCCTTTTTGTATTTACACATGGGAAGTAACTTAGACAAATTCACGTGGTAAAACGAAACGTGAAAATATCACCTGTAAATGTACATTAATTCATCTAGAAATTATTCGGCCCATCTGATGTCAATGTATCGAAATGCGAAGTCAGACTATTTTTTTTTTCATTTTCTCTATGAACTGTAAGTTCTTGAAATGTCGAAAATTGCTTATGTAAATGTTTGAAGCGATACTAATCTCCGCAACATTTTGAAAGTGATGAAGAAACAAATTTAAAAAAAAAAAACGCTTCACGTGAAAAAGTGTGAAGCGCTCGAAAAAGACAAAGACTAGTAATGAAAAATACATTCATAAAAAAAAAATCATAAAAAAACGTTTTAATAACAAGCTTTTATGTAATGATGCACTAAAAAGTAGAAAATAAATTATACACTACTATTTAAATTACTATAAAGAAAAGCTTGGGTCACTTTAGTACTTTAGTACCTATTGGATACCTTTACTAATATTTGAGAAGAGACCCACGCTTTTCTTTATAGTAATTTAAATAGTAGTGTATAATTTATTTTCTACTTTTTAGTGCATCATTTCATAAAAGCTTGTTATTAAAACGTTTTTTATGAATTTTTTCTTCAGTACTTTTTATGTTTTATTTACAATAGTGTTACATGACTAAAAACCTTTGCGCGTCTATTGAACGTGATGGCGCAGCTATTAAACCTGATGGCGCAGCTATTGAAAGTGATGACGCGTGTGGTGTGGTTGGATAGACATTCCTACTATTTCGGTCCAAATTTTAATTAATTCATAAAAAATTAATTAGGCATCCAATTAAGTCAAATTTAGTTTCAGATTGCATTGTCTTCATGTCTTGACCCACGTGCCAACTGTGAATCGTATCGGTCAAGTAGAACTGTCCAAATTTTCACTCCTACGTTTCGATCTAGACTGACGACTTGCGACTGACGACTGGCGACAGACAGAGGAAGTGAGTTAAATAAAAGCTTGTAAAAATAAGCAAAAGTAATATTAATTTATCAAGTAGCATTTAAGTTTCATCTATGTTCAGTGAATGCTAATTAAGTTCCATTAAGTTTAGGGATAAACTGTAGCATTAATAGTGTAACGATTAAGTTAATTTAATTGACCGTAAGATAATTAGCATTAACAGTGTAGATCAGAGTTTCTTTCAGGCATCTCTTCGTAGCCCCCCCCCCCCCCCCCCCCCCCCCGCCGAAATACGTCTACCCCTTCCCCCGAACGAAGCAGAATTGATATAGAAAATAAATACTTGTCCAGTGGCGTAGCGATGGGGGGTGGGGGGCGGACCGCACATGGTGACACCATTTGGGGGGGGGGGGGTGACACCAAGGCTAAAAATAGCAAAATATATAGAGAAAAATGATAATTCTACTTAATTAAGTGATTGATTCGAGTGTTAAATAGTCTTTTAAGAGGTACAAATCAAAAGTTTGAGGGGGGGGGGAGTGCAAATCGAAAGTTTGAGGGGGGGGGGGGGGGTGCAAATCGAAAATTGAAAGTTAGTCCCCGGGAAGGGTTGCTACGCCTCTGGGGGGTGACACCATTAAGTGCCGCACCGGGTGACAACCGACCTCGCTACGCCACTGCCGTAAGCTACATGAGCTAAGGATTTCTTAAATTCATTCATACATTTTGTTTAATGTTTTGTTTTTATTGTAACAATAGATCATATACTGATGTTCACATTGTTAATAAATTCAACATGAGGACGTACTAATGGACCCGAAACCAGAGTTTCTTCCAGGCATCTCTTCGGGGGGGGGGGGGGGGGGGAAGCCTCCCCGAAAAAGTTCTACAAAATCTTCTATTACGGTAAATATAGGAAGCAGTCGATCTAAGGGAGGGGGAAGGGTTGGGATTAGAGCATTTTTGTTTAACAATTTACACAGGTTAGTTTTAAACATTTTAACATAGACGAAGGTGAAAATTTATGACAGTTTAAACTGTAAACAGATATTGGTTAAATTCTTAAAAAAAAATTCTTTTTTTTTTAAATTTAAATATTTTTTTAACATCTGTCAATAATTTATTCCATGATGCATGAAAAAAAAAATTGAAACAACAAAACAACAACACATTACTCTTTTGGTGTGGGTGCTTCCTTTGACTTTTTCTTCAGTTGTTTTGGTGGAATTTTCGGGACATCCATGATGTCCTCCAGCTTTAAGTCTATCCCGAACTCTTTTAATTTCTCCAACTTTTTTGTCTGATTCCTCGCTGACCTCCTGGGTGACTCATCTAGCTTGTCTGTTGTCTTGGCGCTGTTATGTTGACGTTTGGGTTTGGTTGTTGGCCTCCATTTGAACTTGAAAAATGTGTTTTCATGGGCTTGTATTCACAGTTCAAAAGTTTGTTAAAAAACAAGTAGTTATGGCAGGTCTCTGCCAGTGTTTTCCAGACTTTTTTCTCCGGGGGGGGGGGGGGCACTTGAAATTTTCGCGGGGGGGGGGGGGGCGGTAGACTTTCTTCGGGGGGGGGGGGGCGGACACTATTAAAAGTATATATTTTCTATATAAATTATAAAATTTCATTTCGTTCGGGGGGGGGGGGGGGGGGGGGGGGGGGGGGGCGGTAGAATTTTTTGGCTTCGCCCCCCCCCCCCCACCCCGAAGAGATGCCTGGAAGAAACTCTGGTCTCTGCTACAGTCTTGGCGACAGCTGCATCTTTAAATTTGATGAAGGCATATCCTTTTGATTTACCGTTGTTTTTAGAGCGAGAAAGTTTGACATTGAGCACCTTGCCGAACTGGGAGAAGTAGTTAGAGAGCTGTCTTTCATAGAAACCATGGGGCACGTGACCAATATACACAACCCCAGGCAGCCTGTCTTTTTCAGTAATCTTCAGTGACTGGGCCCAGTAAGTTTTTGTCTACTGTTTTATTAGCCCTCTGTTTTTTTTTTTTAATTTAAAAAAAAATGTATGCTTTATTCACGTGTGGATTGTCGTTATGCATTTGACTGATGGGTCTCACTTGTATTCCTATACGAAGTTAAAGAGAGCTAATGTTTTTCTGATCTAAAAAACAATAACATAATCATTAGTAACATATTTTATTTCAAATGTACTAAACAAATTCATACAAACTTATTTTTTTTACTTAATTTAGGAGCCACATTTATGGCTGCTCATAAATTTTCAGTTAATTGTCTGATACGTTTTTGGATACATAAAGATAGGTTTTGTATCTTGTCCGTTTTGTATTTTAACATGGGAAGTAACTTACACGAATTCACGTGGTAAAACGAAACGTAAAAATATCACCTGTAAATGTACATGAATTCATCTAGAAATTATTCAGCCCATCTGATGTCAATGTATCGAAATGCGAAGTCAGACTATTTTTTTTTTCATTTTCTCTATGAACTGTAAGTTCTTGAAATGTCGAAAATCACTTATGTAAATGTTTGAAGCGAAACTAATCTCCGCAACATTTCAAAAGTGATGAAGAAACAAATAAAAAAAAAAAAAAAAACGCTTCACGTGAAAAAGTGTGAAGCGCTCGAAAAAGGCAAAGACTAGTAATGAAAAATGCATTCATAAAAAATAAGCAAAAGTAATATTCAGTGGCGTAGCGAGGTCGGGTGTCACCCGGTGCGGCACTTAATGGTGTCACCCCCCCCCCCAGAGGCGTTTGCGACCCTTCCCGGGGACAAACTTTCAATTTGCACCCCCCCTAAAGTTTTTCTCAATATATTTTGCTATTTTTTTGCCTTGGTGTCACCCCCCTAAATGGTGTCACCCGGTGCGGTCCGCACCCCCCCGCCCCCCCTCTCGCTACGCCCCTGGTAATATTAATTTATCAAGTAGCATTTAAGCTTCATCTATGTTGAGTAAATGCTAGGTAGGTTCCATTAAGTTTAGGGATAAAGTGTAGCATTAAAAGTGTAACGAGTAAGTTAATTTAAGTGATCGTAAGATAATTAGCATTAACAGTGTAGAGCAGAGTTTCTTTCAGGCATCTCTTTGTAGCACCCCCCCCTCGAACGAAGCAGAATTGATACGGAAAATATATACTTTTACCAGTGTCCAGTGGCGTAGCGAGGGGGGGGGGGGGCGGGGGGGTGCGGACCGCACCGGGTGATACCATTTAGGGGGGTGATACCAAGGCAAAAAATAGCAAAATAATATAGAGAGAAATGATAATTGAAGACCTTAGTGCTAAAAGTACTTAAGTCACAAAAACAACATTTTGAGAAAAATGAGTTCAAAGATTAAAATTTACTATGAAACATTACGTTTTTATATTATTTGTTTGTTTGGAAGAGCAAATTAAATAAATTCTTCAGTATTACTATTTGTTTATACGATAAAGTTAAACTAGAGGAATAACGATCAGTGCTTGGTTTGATTTTCACAAAAATGTGACTTAAGTACTTTTAGCACTGGGCTCTTCAATTCCACTTAATGAAGTGTTTAATTCGAGTGTTAAATCGTCTTTTAAGAGTCGAAAGTTTGGGGGGGGGGGGGGGGCAAAGTTTCTTCCAGGCATCGGGGGGGGGGCGAAAAAAATCTACCCCTCCCCCGAACTAAATGAAATTTATATAATTTATATAGAAAATATATACTTTAAACAGTGACCGCCCCTCCCCCCCCCCCCCGAAAAAAGTCTACGGCCCCCCCTCCCCCCGAAAATTTCAAGTGCCCCCCCCCCCCCCTCCCCGGAGAAAAAAGTCTGGAAGAAACACTGGGGGTGGGGGTGCAAATCAAAAGTTTGAGGGGGTGGATGCAAATCGAAAATTTGTCCCCGGGAAGGGGGGGTGACACCATTAAGTGCCGCACCGGGTGACACCCGACCTCGCTACTACACCACTGCCAGTGTCCGCCCACCCTAAAAATTTCAAGTGTCCCCTCCACTTCCGCTATTATCTTCTGTAAAGCTCAATTTTATTTGATTTCCAAAGACTATACAACTCATAAAACCAGTTGATTTATATACACTCTCCATAATACTGTTTTTATACACATTTTAAAAATGTATAAATGCATTTTTCTAATTAAAATAAGTTACAAAACAAGTGGGGTAGCAATTTCGGGGCAAGCCGGAACGGAGTAATGGCATTCCACATAATTCAATGGAGAAAAAAAATAGCTC